AAACGGGGACGTTTTGGTCCCCCATCCGACTGTGTTTACAGCTAAGCACACACGCTAACATTAATTAACAAGCTCACTTGGGGTTGAGGCTTTTTTACACGTTGCTTGACTGCCTGCCCAAAAATCTGATCTAGATATAGTAACGTGTGTTGGGGAAATAATTATTTAAAGTTATTTAATAATTGTGACATTTATTTTACTTTTCGATGGATGAATGATGCTCAAGGTGAGGGGGCGCCGGGCCCGGTCTGTTAACCAAAGTCCAGCCATCTAACAATGTAATATCTATTATTAAAGACCAGAGGAAAAGAACAGAATGAGAGGGGTAAATCCAGAATACAAATAAAGAAGCAAAGAGATTGTAGAGCAGTGAGAAGGAAAAAAGCTTGGTGTGTCAATTCATTACATTGCCAGGATTTTTCGTTGTTGTGAAAAAAAAATCACCCCCTCGGATTTTTCAACAGCCCCCTCAGTAATTTCATCATGGAGCAGGGCCTGCCTCCAGGGGCAGTTTAGTTACTGCTCTGGGGTTCTACCAGCCCACCAACACCTACTAGACTACACACACCGTTCTGCTATCCTAGCGGTCGGACATCCGTGGCTGGAGTGCCTAAAATAGGGATACAACAGGCAGTATGGTGTTAGAGGCCACGCTGTAAGCGCCCCCCTAAACAGATTACGTTGATCTTATGTGTAGATTCTGGGGAGTTTAGTCCTAAAGAGATTGGACGGCCGTTCACCGGAGCTTTATCAGCAGCGGAGTTCGGTATCGGAGACGCCCTAGATATTAACGTTAGTTTTATCGAAGTTAGATTCCTTTTCAATATGTCCAATATGTGTAATATGTAATGGAAATCGCTTTGAGCACTTGAAAAAGCGCTGTAATAAAAAATCGAATTAATTATTATTATACATTTCTACATTACTCTTTTGTTTCCCTGCTCTCAGACGGACCGGGTGTCCATTCGAACGGAGTCAGAACCACGAGGTCGTTACCTTGGTAACCAAAGGTCACCGCCTCTACAGGCCCAAGATGGCGACGCCCACAATCTATGACATCATGCAGCTCTGCTGGCACGAGGTGAGAGCCCAGAGACTCCATTTTTTTTAATCCTAATATACTGTGAGTTTTAAAGATACTTTTAAATTCAACTTGTGTAGTGAGGTGTATACAGCCAGTGGTGTAAAGTAACTAAGTACATTTACTCAATTACTGTTCTTAAGTAAACATTTGAGGTACTTGTACTTAACTTGAGTATTTCCATTGTATGCTACTGTGTACTTTTACTCCTCTACAGATCAGAGGTACATTATGTACTTTTACTCCACTACATTTATTTAATATCTTTATTTACTTTACAGATTTGGATGAATGATGTGGAATACAAGCAACATGTTAGAGCTCAGGCACTTAGGAGATAGGACCCAATTGCACGACCCGGGAGACAGAGGTAAAGTATTGGTAAGATACTTTATGTTTCCAAAAAGCAGGCAAGATGAACAAAAATGGTCTCTAACTAATCTCAGATTGAGATGACAAAAAACTGAGAACAAAATGATAATCGCTCACGTGGTGAGGAACAAATCTTTTCTTTGAGCACAAAAGAACATAGACCTGACCAAGGCAAAATACAAGAAGCATAGACCTGACCATGACAAGAAACAAGAAGCATAGACCTGACCATGACAAGAAACAAGAAGCATAGACCTGACCATGACAAGAAACAAGAAGCATAGACCTGACCATGACAAGAAACAAGAAGCATAGACCTGACCATGACAAGAAACAAGAAGCATAGACCTGACCATGACAAGAAACAAGAAGCATAGACCTGACCATGACAAGAAACAAGACCTTCCAGGGCAAAAGACAAAAACGAACTGACACTGAACACTGGGGCCCTTTCTCATTTAATCAAATGTCCCCTCCTCGACTCCTCGACTCCTCGGTCCTCCGGTAGTGATCCGGAAATTAATTTTAGCGCGCCATGTTGAAGGACATCTCATTTCTCTCAATGCACTTCGAGGACCGAGCATCGAGCAGGCTCTCTGGAGGAGCTCTAACCGAGGATACACTGATGGGTCCTCCACGGCTCCTTCGTGGATGCATTTCCGGGAACAGAGATTTTTCAAAGAGTGGTGACACACGGCCGGACTTATCTCAGCCAATGACAGCTCTGCATGCATCCCCTGGATATTATTTTATTAACTGCTTTCATCGCGACGCGATGTTTACAGAGAGAACAGCTGTGAGGTCCGTGCAGAAAGCAGAGCAGTGTGTATAATATATATCACTCAGTATAACAGGCCTACTCTCTTTATTTGCTGTAGTTTAGTTGATATCTACAAACAAAGAGTCCAGATTTTTCTAAGACCATTTAGTGCTTCACAAAATAAAATACACAACGCCTGTTAGGCTGTTAGCTGTATGGTGCGTGTGTGTGTTGTAGGTGTGTGTGGTACAGTGGTACAGTGGTTCAGTTGGTTTGGTGTCCTCTTCTTACTTTTAATACTTGTAAATAAAACTTTCGGCCCGTAATTTATTTTCCTCATTGTAGCGACCAGAGAGGGGGGGATATATCCAGTCTCTGATAGTGTTACGTTATTATGAGAGTGCTCTGTTTGATTCTGAAATTGTATATATTTATATAAATATATACATATATATATATGTGTGTGTGTGTGTGTGTGTGTGTGTGTCCGCATCTGTAGCCTGTTATTGTCTCATTATACCGCACTGTGAATGAATTAAAAGTAAATATATAAGTCATCATGAACACATCTGTCCATCAGACAGAGGGCTGCTGCCTCCTGTCATCATTAATGGACGTCTCTTTAAAATGACCGCTCAGAGGAGAGGAGTTCTCATTTCTCTAACCGCCTGCTGCTTCCCCTCCTCTCTCCTCGGCTCGCATCTCATGTGGGCGGGACTAAGTCTCGAGGATAGGAGTCGAGGAGGGGAGTTAGAGAAATGAGAAAGGGCCTGGGTGACAGGGGAATTTAAACACAGGGTAACAAGACACAGGTGGGAACAATCAGGGGCGGGGCTGACACTGATGAGCAAAGGAGACACAGAAGGGGTGACAGGGGAAAACAATCAGGAAATTAGACACACCAGGGAAACTAACGACAGACAGGAAAACACGGGGAGAAAGACCAGACAATACACAGGGAGGAAAACATGACAAGGAGAACAGCAAAACACCCACTACCAGACATACAAAACTAAAAACGTGACATAACACAAGAATCATGACAGAACCCCCCCCTCAAGGGACGGATTCCAGACGGCGGGACCTCCAACGGGACTGGACATGGAGCTGGCAGGACCCCCAGCGGAACCTCCAACGGCACAGGACATAGGGTTGGCAGGACCCCCGGCAGAAGAGTAGTCGGTGGAACCTCCAACGGCACAGGACATAGGGTTGGCAGGAATGTGATTATCTTTTCATGGGGCCCAAAATCCCTGGCGGCGCCCCTAACGTGAAGTCATGTGACCGTACTGTAGTTCCTTTATAGCGTTAGATTTTTACTTCAGAAATCATAAATCTGTGTTAATATGTGGAGATTATCCTGCTGAACTAAACGTGTAAGTATCATAAACGTTTGTTTGACACAGAGATTATTTTCTACCATCATTCGAAAATCCAATGGAAATTCTCATTGAACCAGGGAGATGCTGCCTTCAGGGTCGGACTAGAACTGACAAATCAGATGAAGCGGATGGACCACTCACTCATAATCCTCCACCAATCACGTTTGTTTATCTATTCATGTATAATAAATTCACACATCAATACTTATATTCTTTTTCAATTTGCTTCGCTGCCGGCACGAATAGATTTGATGCAAAATATTTGCAGGCGAGTATTTTGTATTATTGCGTCCTCCTGTCTATAAAGGTCTTTAAACTGAAGTTGTGTCCATCAAATAAAACACTCATGTTGAATTGTAGTCAATCAATCAATGTTTATTTATATAGCCCAATATCACAAATCTTACATTTGTCTCAGTGGACTTCACAGTTTGTACAGAATATCAGTATGACAATACGACACCCTCTGTCCTTAGACCCTCACATCGTACAAGGAAAAACTTCCAAAGAAAACCCACAGTTTAAAGGGAACATGGGAGAAACCTCAGGGAGAGCAACAGAGGAGGGATCCCTCTCCCAGGACGGACAGACGTGCAATAGATGCCGTGTGTAAATTGAAGAGATAATACATTTGCAACATAGGTAGTCCAAATGTTTGGAAATGCATGTGTGTATAATAGGAAGATGAATCCATGAGGATATCCATCCAGGACCTATGATCCAGGACCACAGCCACGACTCAAGATCCAGGGCTCGCGATCCAGGACACAGGACCGCAGGATCATCCATGACTCCGGATCCCGGCGTCTCTTTTTCTGTTAGGCAATGTACAAATATTCTGTAAAGGAAGTAAAGGACCGTTCAACGCACCGTTCTGTATAGATATGGAGTCATACTGAACAAAAACACATCCAGGGAAAGTCCCCGATGATGGAGATTATTATAATATTTCTGTAGCCACACCTCCTGGGACATGTACCTTCCTTCCGACTCTCTGAGTTATTTCAGTTTCAGCAGATTTCATGAAGCTCTGATCCAAGATGGTAAGTGTTTTTTTTGGGAAACTTTATAAGGATTATTTCTGAATTTGTTCATCTCTGGATTATTTTCTCATTTAATGGATTACTTTTAAAATGTTGACAATTGCGGATGAGAAATGGGAATCACAGTTTACCCAAAGTCTGAAATGTCTTTTTTTAATATACTTTTCAGTTTGTACTCATAACACATTTCCTCTGAACTAAAGATAAATAAATATAATTAAAAATATGAAATCCTTAATCCTTAATTTAGGTTTAAATATGTTTTCTAATAAAATATTCCAAAAAATAATTATAGTTCAGCAAAATCTAAACACTGCAATTGTAAGTAAAATAAAGTGAAAGTTAAATGAATTTTATTAAATGTTTTATTTAAAAGGTTTTATGAAAATAATCGTAATATCTCGTATAAGTACAATTATCATAGACAAACTAAAATCCAGACACAATTGAATGTTTTCCGTGATTTATGCGATTTTACAAAAGTAAAAATAACTAAATTAAATGATTATAGTTCTGCAAAATATAAACGCTGTAATTTTATCTCAAATAAAATTATATGAAAGTTACGGCAAGTTTAAGTGTATTTTATTACATTTCTTGTAAATCTGAATACGCAAAATAACTTGAATTATCAAGACGATGCTGCTCCCATGTTGATGCGAAACGGGTGATTCTGCAAACCTTTACTGAAAATACTTTAATTAGCTTATGCTGACAATGCTTCTGTACTTCTTCTCAAGTAAAGTTCCTAAAACAGGACTTTTAGGGAGTATTTTATTTTATTACTGCTTCATGATGATGTGAAATGTGAACAAAATAACACTTTATTTTATTTATTTATTTGTATTAACCAGCAAATCTACAAGCAGTTTTTCTAACGGAAATCTATCCCAGATTTATTGCTGGTATTCGTCCAGGAAATAAAGCCTGATTATCTTTGTGTGTACACAATGCCGAACAACAAAAGTGTAACTTGGGAATCATTAACCAGTGTGTAAAGTAATGAGTTGAAACCCAGCTAATGACTCCTAAAATAAGCTCAAGAGGAGGTTATCAGTAAAATCAGTAAATACCCCACTGGTGAATACGTCATCACTTCACCACTCTATAAGATAACATTATGATTCCTCAACAAAAAGGTCTGGTTTGAACTTATCTCAAACTCTAATGTTTGATAATGCATTGTTCTTTCTCCTCCCAAAAAATACACAGTATGTGACCCTAAAAAGATGGAGTCTCCTGCCCTTTGCCACCATCCTCCTGTCCATCCATCCCACACTAACTGCAGTGGTGACTTCAATGGCTGACTGTCCTGGGTTTCTTCTTTTGGAAAAAACACCAAATGTCCCCGACGTCTTGCAGGAAGGGACGATGCTGGACCAGAACCGATATAAAGTCATTTGCCAATGTCTTCCGCGAACTTCAACCACATCTGCCCCTCCCACTGCCACAACTAGCTTTCCCTCTTCCACCTTCCCTACCACCTTGAGCACCACTTTATCTACAACTACAGACAAAACAACAACAGTCCCAACAACCACAACAACAACCACCACCACCGCCCCCACAACAACAACAACAACTACAAAGAAAAAGAAAGACAATCCTGATGATAACAAGGGTGGTGAAGGTGGAGAGGGAGGTGCTTTAGGAGGTGGTTTAGGAATGGGTGCTTTAAGAGGTGGTGGAGGAGGTGGTGGTAATTTGCATACAACAGTTCCTGCTACTCAAAATGCCACTACATCTGGCCATGTAGCTACCACAACAAGAATTCCTTTAACTGCTGCTATCCCCAGTGTTGCCACTAAACCTACAACTACAGAAACATCAACCGGAACAACTTCCCAAACCAGAACTAACTCCACCACTACGACATCTACCCCAACTATTCCTGCAACTTCCAAACCCCAAACTAACTCCACCACTACAACATCAACCCCAACTATTCCTGCAACTTCCAAACTCCAAACCAACACAACCAACCCAATGCCAAATATTCCTGCTACTTCTGAACCCAAAACTAACTCCACCAATCCAAAATCAACCACAACTATTCCTTCAAGTTCCGAACCCCAAATTAACACAACCAACTGGACACCAACGCCCTTCACTTCTCCAACTCCCGGACCCCAAACCAACACAACCAACCCTACGCCAACTATTCCTGCAACTTCTGAACCCCAAACCAACTCAACCAACCAGACACCAACACCCTTTATTCCTGAAATTATTGAACCCCAAACCAACACAACCAACCCTACGCCAACTATTCCTGCTACTTCCAAACCCCAAACCAACATTTCTGAATCCGAAAATAACATTTCCGAACACCAAACCAAGTCATCAGCTACTTCTTTAACCTCTTGTCTGATATGTTCGTACATTTTTTGTATACTGTTTTGCTAATACCTGATTTACAGCTAGGCTAGTACAGCCCTACTGGACGAGACCAATGGGGAAGTGCCAGAATAAAAATATATGGATGCATTTCCTGTCTCATAACAGTGAAATTGTAGGTATCTAGGTAGTTTGGGTTGCCTTAACCCGACCATGGTTAAATTAATTGGATGCCACATGTTGAAATCACATTAAATATGTATTTGAAAATCTAACCATCTAATATATTGTAATTCAATGTAATGTTTGAAAGAATTGTAACCCGACAATATGAATGAAATCATGTAAAAATCAGCTTTTTTTTCCAAATGCGTCTCAGAGAGCTTTAAAATCTCAACTTCCGACATCTAGAGGAAAAATAAAATCATTACAAATCCGAATTGTTTTTGATTTATTTGGTCAATTCAATTTCGCTAATCATAGCTTTAAAGAAAAGGTGTGCTTTGCATAGATTAAGAGGGAGATTGAGAATGTCTAATTATTTAGTCATTTTAGTCAAATCAATGGCACAAAACTGCATGAAATAGAAATATTATTCAGATCCCCGCTACCAAGAAACTTTATGTGGATCAACCGGCCCATCACACTCTACAACTCCCATGATCCAACGCTACCTCACCCCACAGTAATCTCTGTCCATGTTAATGTTTGATTGAGAGCCCCCTAGTGGCAGAAAATGGCAAATCTTACGTTTAAATGCATAAAAATCAAAGAGTTATGTTCATACTATCTGTATTGAGGACAAAAGTCAAGTTAGTATTGTCAAGGAATTGTGATGGTCATTTGAAGGGGAATACTGTGTGTGTGTGTGTGTGTGTGTGTGTGTGTGTGTGTGTGTGTGTGTGTGTGTGTGTGTGTGTGTGTGTGTGTGTGTGTGTGTGTGTGTGTGTGTGTGTGTGTGTGTGTGTGTGTGTGTGCAGCAGTATCGGATGTAAAGTTTTGTTTGTGCGCGTGCAGCCGTGCATAAACAGCTAAGCTAATTTGGAAGTTGAGGCGAGACGTCAAGGATCTCACACTCTCACACACACACATACACACACACACACACACACACACACTTACTGCTGTCAGAAGTCAGGACTCAGCCGTCGCTCTTTCACTACATCTTGAAAATATATTAACAGTTTGTCTGCAGGAGAAGTCAGTGAGTCATACATGACTGTATCTGAGGTAAGTCGACATTCTGTTATTTGTATTGATCTACATTTTATTTATTTCTATAAGAAGGTCGGGAAAAACGATGTTTACATGTTGACAGTTAGCGAAGTTTTGCAGTGAAAATGTTATCTCAACACTTCAACTTTGGTAGTTGTACATTCATCTTTCACATTTCCACTCAATTCATTCTCAAATGTCTGACTCTATTCTCCGCAATTCACATTGATTCTTTACATTTACTCAATATTTCTACTTCATTCCCCACATTTTAAATTCAATTTAATTTTTGACATTTGAACTTCCAACACATACAAACAGCTACGTTTTTAAAATGATAAAAATTATTAAAATCAACAAAATGACATTTCCATGTAGCTTTAAACTTTCTGAGGGGATTGTATGATGTATTTAGTATTTAGTGTCTCTACTGGGACATGTCTCCATGCTTTAATGTTCAAAAAGCTCTTTATTGTTCTCATACTGCCTGTACTGCAGCACCTCTTTTCACCCTCTGTCTGAAACCAGAGCCCACGAGTATCTGTACTTCTACTTGAGTAAAGGATGTGTTTACTTTTGCCATCTCTGCGTAAAAGTGCCTCAAAACTGTCCTTTTATGCAGTACTTTAGTTAGAGTCATGTGCGTTAGGGGGGCCAACAGGGGCCAGTGCTCCCCTGTGGCCCCCCTACAAAAGAATACATCTACGATAATGCAATTCATGCAAAATACTGAGTTACTGTGCTTCAACCTGGGCCACAGTTATCAGTTATGTAATTTTAAGTTGAAACTAAGTTACTGGGAAAAAAATGGTGATTAAAACAAATATCAAGATGTAGGTTTGGCTCAGTCTGCTCTGATTGGTTAGCTGACCGGCTCTGTTGTGATTGGTCAACCGCTTAGGGTTGTCCCGCCCCTTAGCCTATCACGTATAATCTGTTGGAGCGCTAGCCAATAGGAGCGCAGGTTTTGCGTAGTGGTGTCACTATTGGCATCACTTTTTTTTGCTTTTCCACTCAGGGCTACTTTTTCACCTTTTCCTGGCCCTCCAAAATCGAGGTTCTTACCGGGCCAACAACCGGGCTGAATATGCTAAACTAGTGACGTAAACACTCAACTGCTGAATGGGAGCGAGAGAATTGCTGGCAAGGGGCTACAACTACAACAACATGAACATATTTGACCGTGATTTAATTGTAATACACGTTTCTAAATGATGCCGAAGTAACAACATACTGATACCGGTTAGTAAAAACCATGAATTAATGCTTTGACAAGTCTGCAGACAGACGGCAGAGAAACACCTTTAAAATGCGTGTTTTGTGAATGGAGCTAAGCTAACGTTGTAAATGCTCCGACCGTCCACACTAACGGCTGATGTTGGTTTTGTGGTTCGCATTGAAGATGACGTCACGGCAGTTTTATGCAGCGTTGCTCCGCCCGCCGAACAGCCGATCACCCCGCCTACACTGCGTTACTATAGTTACTACCCCTGTTAATAAACTGTAATGGAAACACAGCATAAAGTGAGCCTGGCCTAACAAGGCCTAACCATACCGTGCTAAGCCGTGCTAGGTCCTGCAGTGGAAAAGCGCCTAAGATCCGGTGCTAAAGTCAGGGAAATAAAACATAACATACTTTAAACAAGTCCGTGAATTTGAACTGAACTAACCGTGGACATCATAGCAGGTATTTAGTGGTTTTCTGTGTTATATTTCATAATTTCGGAGGGTATTCAAAGTGGAAATGTGTGTTGTTTTCCGCCGCAGTAAGCTGATCTCTTGTAAAGGTCAAAAGTCAGGAAGACTTGCTGCTGTAACAACAGCAAAGTGTGTATGTACCGATAAATATTTAATAACACGGACAAACTGTTCTGGACGGAGGATTTATCAGTGTGTGAGTGTGTGTGTGTGCGCGCGAATGATTAAGAAGTTATTGAAGAAATTGATTAATTATTGATAAGATTATGAAAGACAGCTGATTGGATTATTCATGAGACCAGATAATAAAACTGTCCAAGTTCCACACACACCAGAGATGTTCACAAGTCTTTTTTTGCAAGTCCAAGTCAAGTCTCAAGTCTTTGTGGGGTGAGACTTGATCAAGTCTCAAGTCTTTGGTCACGAGTCCAAGTCAAGTCTCAAGTCTCAAGTCTCTAAAAAATAAAAGTCTCATGTCTCTTCTGGTTGTAATAAGCCTTCTATTGTCTGCTGCTATCCAGTCTGTTAAGAATACTGCACAGCTATATCTAAGACATTCAAAGCATTTACTGTATTATTATCACTCCTATATCTATTAGCATACAGTATCAGTACTGATTAGTTGTTTGTTATATGATCACTTTAAACAGGCTATTGCAATGCAATATGAGGACAAACATCACAGTTTAGCTAAATGCAAACAACTTATAAGCAAAACACTTCAGAATCAGAAATCAGTATCACAAATACTTTATTAATCCCCCGCAGGGAAACTGTGTTAAAAGTACTTCAAAGTAAACATTTGTTCTGTGCCATTTGCAACTAAAAAACTATTGCTGCAATATTATCTGAAATATACTGAAGTGGTGATATTAAAACATGACCTGTTCCAAAACAGATATCTACCATTAACACCATTTACCAGCCAAATGCTGGTAATCATGCAAGTGGCTGGTACTGTATGTTGCACGCACCAGCCACAAATAACAATGGCAATCTATTGAGTGGCTGGTAACATTTCAACATTCACTAGGCTAGCCATTTGGCCAGTGGACAAAAATGTTAAAATGTGACCTCTGCAACCGTATTGTTTAATTACACTGGGTCTCTAATGACATCTTTTAAGTCTACTATAAATAAACATATTCCTCTATCCTCTCACTCAAACCCAGTGTAATGGTAACCTGATAAACCTGTAACATTAACGTTACGTGGTCAACAATAAACCTGTAACCTGCCTATAAACCGACAGATGTATTTATGTATGTAACTATGTATTTTTCTACGTTTAACGTTAGCCAGTAGATGGTGGCAGCGGAACGTAATGATTAACGTTACCGACCTTTTTTACGTCATGTCAAGAGTTGGATGTCAACGCCACTCAACGCAAACAAGTGGGACAAGCAAACATTCACTCATCTTTTCAAATATTCAGTTACAAAGCTAGTAGCAAGCTAAGTTAACATTACATAGCTGATGCTGAGCTAAACATGTTTGCTAACCGTCCATATGCATTAATGTGAGTGACCTCTCCGGGTGAGTTTTCAAGTGCCTGATGACATTTGACGTTGTTGCACCAGCATCCTTGATTTTAATATTGCAGACTTTGCAGTGTGCGCTCCTTTTGTTGGTGCCGCCGGCGTTTTGTTCGAAGTTTTTATAGTTGAACCTAATTACAAGCGGTACAGCTGCAGGTGTGCCGCCGGTCGCCATGGTGTTACCATCATGTTAATGTTAAAGGTGGGGTAGGTAAGTTTGAGAAACCGGCTCGAGATACACTTTTTGTTATATTCCATGGAATGCTCTTAACATCCCGATAGCCGGCCCGGCTAAAGTAACTGGATGGCCTACCTGCCTGTCAGCCTCCCATCGGGGCACAAACTTGTCTCGTGCCCTCATTGGTCATGTGCGCGTTCGTGTGTGTTGGAGGAGGGGCTCTGTGAGGAAGTGGCAGATTTTCTCCGGTTGTGTATTTTCTAATTCTAGCGATCTCGAGCCGGTTTCTCAAATTTACCAACCCCACCTTTAATACGCCAAAAATAGAAAACACAATGATTGTTCACGAGTCCCAAAACACGAGTCCAAGTCGAGTCCGAAGTCTTTTGAGCAGGAGTCCAAGTCAAGTCTGAAGTCTCTGTGTGTGCGACTTAAGTGCGACTCGAGTCCGAGTCACAGACTCGAGTCCCCATCTCTGACACACACACACACACACACACACACACACACACACACACACACACACACACACACACACACACACACACACACACACACACACACCACACACACACACACACACACACACACACACACACACACACACACACACACACACACACACACACACACACACACACACACACACACACACACACACACACACACACACACACACACACACACTAAAGTTTTCCTAACCTCTCTCCAGATGTCGTGGCGCTCGTCTTTCCGATGCTCAAAGTTTCGTCACGTTTTCGGGAAGCCGTCCAATAAGGAGCACAGCTACGACGGGGTGCCAATCACACGCGGTGTCCATGACAACCACTACTGCTCAGCCAATCCCTGCTTCATCGCCGTGGTGACGGAGTGCGAAGGGGGCGGGGCTTTCCTGGTGCTGCCCCTCCACCACGTGAGCATTCTGTTTAAAGGATAAAATATTAGACAAAAAGAAGTACAAATATTTGTTGATACAAACCAGAACACACACAGTAAATGATGAACATGGTATTGTCCACAGTATTGACTGTTACATGTCCAATATGTGAAATATGTAATGTAAAGCGCTTTCAGCACTTGAAAAAGCGCTGTAATAAAAAATGTAATAAATTATTATTATTATTATACATTCTTGCATTACTCTTTTGTTTCCCTGCTCTCAGACGGGCCGGGTGGACCCTCAGCACCCGAGGGTCTGTGGCCACAGAGGAAGGGTTCTGGACGTGAAGTGGAACCCGTTCAACGATCACTGCATCGCCTCTTGTTCGGAGGACGGCACCGTAAGCACCTGTGTGTTTACATGCATGTGTACAGACATACAAGTACCTCAAAACTGTACTTTTATGCAGTACTTTTGTTTGAAAAATATCACTTGCCACCGGCTTGAGCTTCAATCTCAGGATCCATGTATTTGTGATCCTCTCCAGAATGGAAGTAGTCATCACTTACAGTTCTGCCTTTACAGGGATGCAAACTTGTCACCTTTTGGCGAAATTTGCCGTTTTGAATCCAAAATAGGTCGTTTGTGTGATTCATGTATGTTTTGTTTGTTGGTCTATTGATGAACTGACTCGTGCTCCATGCTAAAGTGTTAGCCAAGTTTAATCAAGAGGTCTTGTTCGGATTTAAACATAGGTCACAACTATGTGGCGACACCTTGTGGTAGGAGTGTGTATCTATCTAATCAACACATCCCCCTTTCTTTGAGGTAATATAAACAAATAGTGCAACATCAATTTTAATCAAACATTTTGATTTCTCTACCATAACAAATAAACATCTGGTCTAAATGTACTCAGAATGCTAACTAGCACACACTTGGAAATTGTCTAAACATTTACACCATTTTAACATCCATTAAATCAGTCTCTCAATCACAGATTCAGTCTATCTGGTTTTCTGATTTCCCTTGTAGATCTTCTGACCACATGTTCACTTGGAGTGTTAGTATCACAGTGTGTCTGTGGTGAAGGTGTGGACTCAGACTCAATGATGGATTCACTGAGCTGTTGACCAGCTTCTTTTGTTTTCATAAGACTGCGACGATTGCGTCTGAAGATGTGTCCTTCCTCTGTCCTCACAGTGAAAGATCGCGGTGCTACTTCCTGAAGAACAGTGGCTTTAGTTCTCCATCCATCAGGACCCTCAATCCTGACTGTGTCATTACTTGATAGCAATGGAAGCTGCTTAGCTGTTTTGTCATACCATGTTTTCTGCTTCACCTTTTGTTGTTGTAGTTGGTGTTGCAGCTTTGGGTGTCTCTTTTGCTTTGAATAGCTTGGCAGTGTGGTGCGCAACTTAGGATTCATCAGAAGTTCAGCAGGTGACAGTCCACACTCCAGAGGTGAGGCTCTGTCGCTGAGGAAAGCGAGGTATGGGTCTGAGCCACTCATCAGCTTTCTTTAGAAGTTGCTTGAGAATGTGAACTCCCTTTTCAGCTTTCCCATTTGACTGTGGATAATGAGGACTTGAGGTCACATGCTTAAAGTCATACTGTTCTGCAAATTCTTGCCACTCTCTGCTGTTGAAACACGGTCCGTTGTCACTCACTACTGTGTTAGGTATGCCATGTCTTGCAAAAATTGATTTTGAATGTGTTATGACACTTGTTGATGATGAGTTTGACAGTAGTGCCATTTCAGGAAAGTTTGAGTAATAGTCAATGACCACTACATAGTCTTTACCTTTGAGATGAAACAAATCCATTCCAACTTTATCCCATGGTGCTGTTGGCAGTCACTATCATGGGCTCTGTAGTCTGCTTGTTTCTGTGTGTCTGGCATGTGTCACACACATCAGTCTCTCCATGTCTTTATTTACTCCAGGCCAGAAAACCCCGTCTCTCGCCCGTCTTTTGCATTTTTCAACACCCAGATGACCTTCATGTATTTTTTTTTAGTACTTCCTGTCTCAATGCGCGTGGAATGACAGCCCTGTGTTGTTTCAGTAATAGTCCATCCACGACACTCAGTCCACCTCTGATGGTAGAAGAGCGGACAGGAACCTACAGGCCATCCATTTTGCATATTTGCAATGACACACTGCAGCTCTGTGTCTGTTTCTTGAGCTCTGTGTCTGGACCTTGTGTCTGATACAGGAAGCGCAGCAGACACCATGTTCACATGACTTTTCACATCCTCTTCAGTTGTACTCACATAATCCACTGTAGGTGCTCGTGAGAGAGCGTCAGCAAGTATCAGGTGCTTTCCAGGTGTGTAGATCAGCTCAAAGTCATATCTCTGCCTCTTCATCATGAGACGCTGTATCCTTGGTGTCATTTCACTTAAATTCTTTTTAATGATGGATACAAGTGGACGATGATCTGTCTCTACTGTGAATGAAGGTAGGCCATAAACGTAGCTGTGGAACTTCTCCAAGCCATAAACCAGTCCCAGACATTATTTTTCTATTTGAGCATATCTGCACTCAGTCTGTGTCATTGACCTGGATGCATAGGCCTGGCTTCCAATGCTCGCCTTCAACTTGGAGGAGCACTGCGCCTATTCCATCCTTTGAAGCATCTGTTGAAACTTTAATCTTCTTTGTTGGGTCAAAGAATGTCAATACAGGTGCAGTTGTGTCTGTCTGAGTGTTTTCCACTCTTGCTCATGTTTGACTGTCCATTTAAACTCATGTTCTTTGTGCAGGAGCTCACGGATGCAAGATGTCTTTGCAGATAGGTTTGGAATAAATGTACCTATTAGGGGTGTAACGGTTCACAAACATTTCGGTTCGGTACGTACCTCGGTTTTTTGGTCACGGTTCGGTTCGGTACAGCAGAATTTTTTTTCACAGAACAAAACATATATATATATATATATTTTTTATTATTATTAAACTGTGAATAATGTATTCACTCAAATAAATACAAAATATAATAAAATAAACATTAAGGTGCAGCATGTCGATGAACTGAAATAATCTGTATTTGAACTTTACTGTAGGCTACTAGTACTCACAAAATATAAACTATTAGTTTTGGGTTTTTAATTATTATTAAACTGTGAATATTCACTCAAATAAATACAAAATATAATAAAATAAACATTAAGGTGCAGCTTTTCGATGAACTGAAATAATCTGTATTTGAACTGTACTGTACTGCACCTAAGCAGCCAGTTTGACATTATGACTTGCTTGTCATTGTATTTTCATGTTGTTTAAAGAAAGATGAACTTGTCCACATTGCTTGCCGAAAGGGCAGATCTGCTGGCACTAACAATGTCTCCTGCTGTGGAGAACACCCTCTCGCTAGGGACAGAGGTAGCAGATACAGCCAGGTAGCGCTTTGCTAACATGGCAACATAAGGATATATGGCGTTTGTAATAGCTTTGGCTCGGTCTGAACTCTCTGCGAGTGGTGGAGGCTTAAATGCTAGCGGGAGTTGGGTTTGCACTTCAGTCTTTTTTCTTTTGGTACCGGTGATATTCACGTTCGGGTGATGCCTTTTCAAGAGTGTGCAAGTTTGATGTATTGCCAGCCGCGTAACCAATTTTAGTTGAACAATGCCGACAAACAGCTTTGGTTCGGTCCACCTGTCTTTGTCCTTCATCCTTGTACGTAACTGCGGAACCAAAATGTTCCCAAACCGGAAACTTCAATGATGCTGGAGGATTTTCGAGCTCAACTTTATCTGCGTTCGCCATTTCGACAGTTCCTCAAATTACTGACTACATTTGAACGCATCCCTCTGACCAGCTCTCATAGTATGCCTCTCATCCAATGAAATGACTTGCTCGCTCTATGACGCGTTGAACCCAATGTGACCAAATTACTCTGAATGCTGCGACGCAGCACCTGAGATTACTTCCAAAAGTTGTTCACGTTCTGAATTTTTTTACGTTTAACGTTATATTCGTTCGGTACACTTCGGTACACACCTGTACCGAACCGAAGGGCCCGTACCGAATAATTTCGGTACGGGTACGTGTACCGTTACACCCCTAGTACCTATGAAGTTGACCATCCCCATAATGCGAAGTACACCTGTCTTGTCTGTGGGCCTTGGCATATCCTGTATGGCTCTGATCTTTTCTTGGTCAGCTTGTACACCTTGTGCAGAGAGCTTGTCTCCGAGAAAGACAACTTCTTGAACTCCAAACTCGCATTTGCTCTTGTTAAGCTTGAGTCCATACTTGTGTATGCGCTCCAGCACCTTTTTCAGCCTCTCATTGTGTTCTTGTAGTGTCGAGCCCTACACAATGATGTCATCAACATATGCTCGAACACCGTCCAGCCCCTCAATGATGTGCTCCATCGCTCTGTGAAATATTTCGGATGCTGAGATGATCCCAAAGGGCAGTCTGAGGAAGCAATATCTGCCGAATGGTGTATTAAAGGTGCAATATTTGGTGCTGCTGTCCTCCAGTGTCAGCTGCCAAAAGCCTTGAGATGCATCAAGCTTTGTGAAGAAGCTGGCACCTGCCATTTCACTTGTGATTTCCTCACGCTTGGGTATCTGATAATGTTCACGCTTGATGTTTTCAATAAGATCTTTTGGGTCCATACACACTCTTAAATCACCACTTTTCTTCTTTACACAGACCATCGAGTTAACCCAGTCTGTTGGCTCCTCAACTTTTTGTATCACTCCGAGCATTGTCATTCTGTCGAGCTCTTTCTTTAAGCGATCTCTGAGTGGCGCTGGAACTCTTCTTGCAGCATGTGCATTTTCTTTGAGCTGGATTTTGCATGTGAAGGGCAACACACCAAAACCCTTAAACACATCTGCATAACTCTGTACTATACAATCAATTGAGTCATTTGGTGTACTCACAGTTGTGTTGATGCAATACACTCTCTTGACAAGTTCCAAATCTTCACATGCTTTATCACTCAGCAGTGAATCAAGTCCATCAGCGACAGAGAAAAGTAGGTGGTGCACTTTACCTTTTGAGGTTACCTTTAATATGCACACGCTCAAACTGTTGATTTTCTTTCCATTATAATCTTTTAGTGCCTGTGTTCTTTTTTTAATTTGTGGCTTATCTTTCATTGCCTTGATGTCAGACAGGCTCATCAGGTTTGCTTTTGCACCAGTATCCAGTTTCATAGTTATTATTGTCCACAAAAAATGTCTCACTTAAATCATCGTCTTCCACTATGTTTACAGACTTTCCTTTCTTCCTCTCATTTCCTTTTGAGAAGCACTGCTTAGCTAAATGGTTCTGGCCCTGGCAATTAGAGCATTGCTTACCAAATGCCGGACACTGTCGTGGTTTGTGCTTCGAGCCGCAGCGCTTACAGCTGAATGTCCCTTCTTCCGACCGCTGTGTAGGCCGCGTCTGTGCGCGCCATTTGCCTTGGCTGGAGACCGCACCAACTGCTGCGCCATCACTCACGTTAGCCGCGCCCGCCATCTCGCTGAAAGTCCTGACGTGCATTTGGGACAACTCGCTTGCATGGCAGATTTGTATAGCTGCTTCACATGTCAGCTCCGTTTCCCTTAGCAGCCTTTCTCTGACCTTGTTATCCTCCACGCCAAAAACGATCTGGTCCCGTATCATGGAGTCCCTCAGCGTAGCAAATTTGCATGACTGTGCTTTTAGCTTCAGGTCAGTCAGAAAGCTATCAAAAGGCTCATGCTGCTGCACACGTGAACGGAATACATATCTCTCGTATGTTTCGTTCTTTCTGGGAGAGCAGTGGCCATCACATTTCTCGAGCACTTTATCCAGTTTGTCTTTATCAGCCTGCTCTTCATACACAAAAGTATTGTACACTTCTATCGCCTGTGGGCCTGCTATAGTTAGCAGTAGCGCTACCTTCCTAGCATCCGGCTTAGTTTCCAGTCCCATGGCCGTGATGTAAAGCTGGAACTGCTGCTTGAAGGTCCGCCAGTTGCTGTCGACATTTCCCGAAAGTTTGAGCGTCTCCGGTGGCTTTAATGAATCCATGTCGCTTGTCACAACTCCTCACTTAATGTGTTTTTTTTACTTCATAATGTACTGCTGGTACCATGTTTTGTTTGTTGGTCTATTGATGAACTGACTCGTGCTCCATGCTAAAGTGTTAGCCAAGTTTAATCAAGAGGTCTTGTTCGGGTCCCTTACCGTACATGTGGATTTAAACATAGGTCACAACTATGTGGTGACACCTTGTGGTAGGAGTGTGTATCTATCTAATCAACACAATGTAGATCTGCAATACAAATATTTTTGGGGGATCTGGGACCCGGAGTAATCTTCGGCCGTGAGCTGTTATGTGCCATCATACACGCATGGTGTTCTTTTTTTATTATAATGAAGCGCGAGCTGTGTGCTCGAGTCTTCCTGCCTGTCGGTTCTGCTCATGGATGTATTATAAGGCTCTGCTGCTCCGCGATGATGGTCTAGCTTCAGCAGCTACATTACCTACGGGTGCGTTCGTTAATATTAACTGTGCGGTCCGGAGTCACTGTGGCACAGACTGGACCGCTGGTGAACAGCTGTTAGAACGGGCCGTTCAGGTGTTCAGAGCAGAGCTCCCTGTCGGAGCGGCAGAGCGTGATGTGCACTGAGAAGTTTTTCTGTTGCAATATTATTTAATGAATCCTTGAGCTAGCTAACTAGCATACATTGTCACTATCTGCTAACGTTAGCTTTAGCCTTCGTTTTTTAATAGTTTTTTTCATAGGCTATAAACAGAGCTGGTATAAGTATAGATATTGTACTTGAGTAATAGAAGCACTCAGATCTTGTACTAGAGTAAAAGTAGAAGTACTCAGGTCTTGTACTTGAGTAAAAGTAGAAGCACACAGATCTTGTACTAGAGTAAAAGTAGAAGTACTAAGATCTTGTACTTGAGTAAAAGTAGAAGTACTCAGATCTTGTACTTGAGTAAAAGTAGAAGTACTCCGATCTTGTACTTGAGTAAAAGTAGAAGTACTCAGATCTTGTACTTGAGTAAAAGTAGAAGTACCAGAGTGTAGGAATACTCTGTTACAGTAAAAGTCCTGCATTCAAAATGTTCCTCAATTAAAAGTAGAAAAGTATTATCATCAAAATATAGTGAAAGTAGCGACAGTAAAAGTAGTCGTTGTTTGATTGGACCATTTCAGAATAATATATATGATGTGTTTTATAATGATTGATCATGAAAGTGTTCTCAAAGCTGGTGAAGGTGCAGCTAGTTTGAATGACTTTGTATACTGCAGGGTAGCTGGTGGATTTACTCCAGGTGGAACTAAAGTCTGATTTAACACTTGGTTAGATTTCACAGCATTCATCCACATCTGTGAAGTAACTAAAGGTATTAAATACATGTAGTGGAGTAGAAGTACACCATGTACCTCTGAACTGTAGAGGAGAAGAAGAACAAAGTAGCAAAACATTGAAGTATCTCAAAATTGTACCCAAGTACATCAACTTGTTGAGTTGATTAATTTAGTTACTTTACACCAGTGGCTATACAGATACAAAGACTAAGCCTTGCACAGAGGCATGAAAATACATTTTCAAAATGCTCAACAGTGCTGCCTAAATGATAAACTGACTGCTACACAATTAAAATAAATGCTTTTATATATTTCTATTAGATGTGACTCTTTAACGTTTCTGTTATTATTAACTGCTGCTTTAGTTGTTCTGACTGCTAACATCCTGTTATTCCTCATTTTAAAGCCGATATTCTGTGGGGTCGGGGGATCGGATCCTTGTCACCTTTTTCATACCTGATGAGTTTGCATCCCTGCTTTAATACAGTCATCCCGGGAAGATTGGTTTCCAAGCTATCTGACCTAGGATTTTCCTCAAACATCTGCCAATGGATTAAGGACTTCCTAACTAACCGCCCCAGACAGTGAGAATAGGCCCTCACCTCTCCTCCACCCTCACACTCAGCACCGGTTCACCACAAGGCTGTGTGCTGAGCCTGAGCCCCATGCTCTACTCCCTGTACACCTATGACTGTGCCCCCGCTCACCCCACCAACACCATCGTCAAGTTCGCGGACGACACAACCGTGGTTGGACTGATCACAAGAGGAGATGAGTCAGCCTACAGGGATGAAATCCAGAGACTGGCAGTGTGGTGTTCAGATAATAACCTTGTTCTGAACTCCATAAAAACAAAACAACTCATTATAGACTTCAGGAAAAACAGCACAACACCGGATCCACTGTACATCAACGGCAACTGTGTGGAAAGGGTTCCCGCCTTCAGGTTCCTCGGCACACACATTGCTGAAGATCTATCCTGGTCTATCAACACCACAACATCTGTGAAAAAGACCCAGCAGCGACTCCACCCATGCCCGGCGCCGTGGGAGGGCCAGGCCCTCCCATTTGACATTCCTGCCCTCCCCGAATAAACACGTTTTTTTTATTATTTATACAAATTAAAAAATATATATATTTTTTTTTTTTTAATTATAAATAAACTGTGAACTTTTATGCTACGATGTATGTGATGTCAGAACAAAAAAAAAATCGCAGGCTACGTCAAATAAATGCATGTGTCTGTTGTGATTTGTGATTCATCCCCATTTAGACCAATCACAGCGTCACACTCTGCCGCCTATTCTGGATTTGTTTATTGTGCATTCTGTAGACTCCCATTTCTGTTTGAATTACAAAATGGACATAAAAAATTGGCTTAAAAGGTCTAAGGATTTATTCAAACGAAATAGCGATGAAAGAACTGCAGCCGATGGTGCTGCTGGCGACCCTGCACCTGCCGTTGCAGCAGCACGCCTTAATGTCACAAGCTTGACCTCGGCAAACCCCGGGGCTGAGCTAGCGATGATCTGGGGTTAATAAACCCAAGCAGGTGAAGCTGGATCGTTATCCAGGGAGATTGTTTTCAGGAAAGAAGCGCACTTGTGCCGGTCTGTTGAAGATTCGTTAAAAGCAGACGCAGCCTTGTGTCTTCATCTGATGCAGCTTTTACTGTCAAAGGTTTTTGCGACTGGAAACACGCATTACAGACTGATAAAGGACTGCTAAGATATGCCGCATCAAAAGAACACATTTCATGTGAGAGTGTGTGGAAAGAGAGACAGATACGCGAGGAAACAAATAAGGAAATGAGTACTTTAGTGCAGATCAGCTGGCACGGAGCCGTTATTACGTGTCAGCTGTCGTTGATATTATAGCTTTTTTAGCTGTCAACCAACTCCCTCTCAGAGGTGACTCGATGCACTCCACAGCATGTCCGAGTGCAGTGCATAGGAACATAAACCATGCCCAAGGCGGGCTAAACAGCTCATCGACTCCGTCTCTACTATTTCTCTCCGAGTGCAACGATGAGGAAGCTGCCATCCTTAACCAGTGTGCCTTGCTCGTGATTTACCAGTGTCTGTGCTGCCACGCACACAATGTTTCAAAGTGGTTGCTATGTTGCCCTTTATTTGTGTATGTTTGCGATAAGTGTGCGTCTTTACGCAATGCCGTTGGCCTTGCTGTTTGATATATATTGTGCCGCAGGCCCGCAGCACGTGACGGTTTTGTGTGCCCTCCCATGAAAATCATAGGCCCTCCCTTTAGATTTGTTCTGGCGCCGGGTCTGACTCCACCTCCTGAGGATCCTCAGGAAAAACAACCTGGAGGAGAAGCTTCTGGTGTCTTTCTACCGCTGCTCCATAGAGAGTGTGCTGGCATATTGCCTAACCACGTGGTCTGCCAGCTGCTCAGAAAAGGACAGGAAAGCCCTTCAGAGGGTCATCAACACAGCCCAGAAGGTCATCGGCTGCTCACTGCCTTCTCTGGAGGAACTCTTCAGCCAACGTTGCCTCAACAGAGCAGGCAAAATAATTGCAGACTCTTCACACCCTGGACACTTCCTGTTTGCTCTTCTGCCCTCCGGTCGACGCTACAGGTCAATTCAATCAAGGACAAACCGACTGAAAAACAGTTTCTACCCCAGAGCCATACGAGAACTGAACAGTTACAACTTGCAACTGCACTACTTTTTAATAGTTTATTAACTTATTAACTGATCGACATCAGAGATGCAAAATATCATCCCTGTGTTTTTTATATTGCAAACTGTATTTAAATTATGTGCGGGCATGTATGCATGTTGGTATGGATGTGTGAGCATATGTGTATGTGTGTATATGTTTATATAGATATATATTTATTCGTTTTATGTGGAAATGCACTGCGAGGATTGCTTTTTTAAATTTCGTTGTACCTGGTGCGATGACAATAAAGGAATTATATTCTATTCTATCACATACAGAGCATCAACTAGTTCCTGAACAGTGTCCTTCACATGCTGATATCCAAGAGAGGGAGTTACACAGTCACAAGATGGAGGAATAGAAAGCAGTATTCAATGTTTACTTCAGATTAGCTCCACATCAGAAATGAGCATGCTTGATGTCTCTCTCCATAGAGGCTGAATCATCATGTTAATCACATAGCTATCATATGCCTCAAACAGTCCTGATGCTCTTCTAGGTAATCACACATCCTGTCATGTTCACAGCTACAGTTGGGATGCCTTTGTTATCATGTTACTCTCATGTTGGAAGAGGACATTCACTATTTTCCCAACAACTTATGTAAGAGTACTGTGTGTTCAGGTGAAGATCTGGGACGTCCCGGTGTGCGGCGTCCAGCAGAACCTCACCACGGCCAGGAAGACTCTGATTGGTCACTCCAGGAGAGTGGGGCTTATCGAGTGGCATCCAATAGCGGAGAACTTGCTGCTAAGCTCCGCCTACGACTACAAGGTCAGGATCCTGATTTGACGATTTATTATAAACCAAACTTAAAGGTGGGGTAGGTAAGTTTGAGAAACCGGCTTGTTATACACTTGTTGTTATATTCCATGGAATGCTCTTAACATCTCGATAGCAATGAAAATCTGAAGTGCTTTGACAATAAATCCATTAAAATATCATCAGTGGAAGCCGTGGCGCTGTAAAAAGCACGACCAATCATCTGAGCCGGCTAAAGTAACTGGATGGCCTACCTGCCTGTCAGCCTTCCATCTGGGCACAAACTCATCTCGTGCCCTCAGTGGTCATGTGCGCGTTCGTGTGTGTTGGAGGAGGGGCTCTGTAAGGAAGTGGCAGATTTTCTCCGGTTGTGTATTTTCAAATTCTAGCGCACTCGAGCTGGTTTCTCCAAAATTACCTACCCCACCTTTAACCTTAAAAATTTGAAAATGTAAAAGGTCTCCTATTGTACTATTTTTAGGCATATATAATAGGTCTAGATATATAATTTAAAAAAAAATTCTATGAAGTGTTTTGCTCAAAATACCAAACAGATCATTCTAGCCTCAAACCCCTCTATTTCAGCCCAGTTACTAAAGTGATGATTCTGGGTCTAAAGCTTTAAAACAAAAAAAAGCTGCCAGCAGATACTCAGCTAAATGCTGAAACAGTATGGAGCTCAAACTCTTTTTGTCTCTCAGGTTTACCACAAGGTGAGTTCCTTTTGATTTCCTGCTTCTTCACACACATGCTCTCCAGTACAGGTTAGCTCTGAGTGTTAGCGATGCTAATGTAAACACCGACCATATTACGTCCAAAACAGTCGGGCATTTTTTCTGATAGCAACGTTTCTGATTGGGCCGTGGGTGTAAAGCCCGCCCACATTTCAGATATTACGTCATATCGGACGTAGATCTGGATCAGCTTCGTTGTTCCCCCGTTTTTAGAGATGTGGGTACGGAGGAAAAGAGAGAGGGTTTTCTTTTCTGACTCTTTGTGAGTTCCCCGACGCACCGGGGACACATGGATAAAATACATCAAAAAGTGCATTTTGCATGATATGAAACCTTTAAACACTTACAAATCGGGTGTTTTTTTGACCAAACAGCCCTGATGTTGCCTCTGTTTCCCCAGGTCCTCCTCTGGGATGTTTCCCAGGCGGGTTCGGTCCTCAGGTGTCCGGTCCGGGTGGTTCTGTCTCCGGTTCACCATCGATACCCATCTGACGCTCTGCTGCTGTCCGTCAGCTTCAACTCTGACGGCAGCCGGCTGGCCGTCACATCCAAAGACCGACGGGTTCGAGTCCTGGACCCTCGAACAGGGAAGATCCTACAGGTACGCAGTGGTGGGAAGTAGTGGAGTACAAATACTTTGTTACTGTACTTAAGTACATGTTTCTGGTATCAGTACTTTACTCCACTACTTATTTTTCTGACGACTTTTTACTTTTACTTCTTATATTTTGAACCCAAATACCTGTACTTTCTACTTCTTACATGTTGAACCCAAATACCTGTACTTTCTACTTCTTACATGTTGAACCCAAATACCTGTACTTTCTACTTCTTACATGTTGAACACAAATACCTGTACTTTCTACTTCTTACATGTTGAACCCAAATACCTGTACGTTCTACTTCTTACATGTTGAACTCAAATACCTGTATTTTCTACTTCTTACATGTTGAACACAAATACCTGAACTTTCTACTTCTTACATGTTGAACACAAATACCTGTACTTTCTACTTCTTACATGTTGAACACAAATACCTGAACTTTCTACTTCTTATATGTTGAACCCAAATACCTGTACTTTCTACTTCTTACATGTTGAACACAAATACCTGTACTTTCTACTTCTTACATGTTGAACTCAAATACCTGTACTTTCTACTTCTTACATGTTGAACCCAAATACCTGTACTTTCTACTTCTCTCATGTTGAACTCAAATACCTGTACTTTCTACTTCTCTCATGTTGAACCCAAATACCTGTACTTTCTACTTCTCACATGTTGAACACAAATACCTGTACTTTCTACTTCTTACATGTTGAACCCAAATACCTGTACTTTCTACTTCTCACATGTTGAACACAAATACCTGTACTTTCTACTTCTTACATGTTGAACTCAAATACTTGTACTTTCTACTTCTCTCATGTTGAACTCAAATACCTGTACTTTCTACTTCTCTCATGTTGAACCCAAATACCTGTACTTTCTACTTCTTACATGTTGAACTCAAATACCTGTACTTTCTACTTCTTACATGTTGAACACAAATACCTGTACTTTCTACTTCTCACATGTTGAACACAAATACCTGTACTTTCTACTTCTTACATGTTGAACTCAAATACTTGTACTTTCTACTTCTCTCATTTTCCAAACAGCTGGTTCCTTTAGTCTGAATGTGTGTTTGATGCGTGATCATTATTCTTTAGAGTCATTGCGTGCCTATTGATTTGAACACGATCCGTGTATCCATCATTTCCTGGTCTTCTCTAAAGAAGAGGGACCAAGGGAAACGTTGTCATGTTGCCGTTGTTCAGCATGGAAACATTCATTAGCTAACAATGACATTATTGATCTATTAATATAAAGGGAGGTCAGGTACTCTTTAAAACAGCTGCTAGTTATGGGTACTTTCTACTGAAGTACATTTCAAAGCCTCTTTACTTTTACTTGAGTAAAGAAGTTTAGTCAGTACTTTTACTTTTACCAGAGTATTTTTAAACACGAGTATCTGTACTTCTACTTGAGGAAAGGATGTGTTGCCATCTCTGCAGGTGTGTTTCAGAAATGCTCATGTTGTGGTAATACCAGTGGTGGAAGAAGTATTCAGATGCTTTGCTTGAGTAAAAGTAACACTGCATTCAACATTTATGCCTTTTCTAACTCAGAAATTAGGTTTAATTTTGTGTAAATGAGGTCTATTGACCATAAAGAGTCACACTTGTGGTAATAAGTCAGAATGAAGTTGCCTTAAAAGATGTAACACAGATTTGGGTGATTAATCATACTGTATACTATAAACTATGTAGAACAACAGTTCCACAAATACTCATTGTGCATAAAATGGCCTTTGTGTGTATATCATTACATTATGGGACATTTCTAATATTGTTGATCACATTTTACTGCTGTAGACAAACAAAGATCTGGTTGACTTTTTGTCAAATATTTCAATAATTTTGCTCTTTTCTGACTGAAGTCCATAATTTCGCTTTTAAATGTACTGGAGTAGACGTATAAAGTAGCATAAAAGGAAAAAACTCAAGGAAAGTACCTCACAATTGTACTTAAGCACAGTACTTGAGTAAATGTACTTAGTTACTTCCCACCTCTGGGTTATATTGATAACTTTTCTCCAACCTTTAGGTGTCCCGGAGTAATTCCCACAGAGCGAGTAAGGTGTTGTTCATCGGAGGACTGAAGATGCTTCTCTCCACCGGCAGTTCGATCTGGAACCACCGACAGATCGTCCTCTGGGACCCTGTGAGACTCAAACACACACTTTACCTTCTAATTCAATGCTTCATTAGTTAAAGGTGTCCTATTGTACTATTTCTAGACATATATTATAGCTCAAATGCTTTCTCTCGCGGGTTTACCACAAGGTGAGTACCTTATTTCCTGCTTCTTCACACATACTCTCTCCAGTACAGGTTAGCTCTGAGTGTTAGCGATGCTAATGTAAACAAAGACCTTATTACTTCCAGAACACGTCAGGCATTGTTTCCGATACAGCAACGTTTCTGATAGGCCCGTGGGTGTAAAGCCCGCCCACATTTCAGATATTAAGTCATATCGGACACACATCTGGATCAGCTCCGTTGTACCCCCGCTTTTAGAGATGTGGGTACGGAGCAAAAGAGAGAGGGTTTTGTTTTCTGACACTTTGTGAGTCTCCTGACACACAGGAGACTCACATTTATGGATAAAAGACATCAAAAAGTGCAATTTGTATGATAGGAGACCTTTAAATTAAGGTGTATTTGTTTCTAGGACGACTTATCTGAGCCGCTGTACGAAGAAGTTCTGGACGGATCTGCAGGAGTCCTCTTCCCGTTCTACGATCCGGACACACACATGCTCTACCTGGCTGGAAAGGTCTTACAAAACACACAGATTACCCAGAACTCCTTGCATATTGATGGTGTTCCAGTCTGGTTGTTAGGAAATTGAACCTAAAGGGAATTTAAATACCTTTATTCAGGGTGACGGGAACATTCGATACTACGAGCTGAGCACGGAGAAACCTTACATCAGCTTCCTGACAGAGTACCGGTCTCTGCTGCCACAGAAAGGACTCGGTGAGGTCAACAAACCCATTAAAAAGTGTAGTGTTTTGTTGCTTTTGAACATATATTCGCAGCCTAAAACTTAAACCTTACCCTACCAACGTTAGCGCCTAATCGTACATGATATTGCAGGAAAAACATACACTCTTATTTTGTAAAAACACTCTCCACCATGTCTTAGCTAGCTTCACAACTTTACTTTTGGCCAAACTTATTTGAGGAAAAGACTAATATAGTTAGCTTTACAAGATATATTTGGTCAAAACACGACATTAGCTAGCTGTAGAATATGGTATTCAGAATAAAATACCAAGCAAAGCAGCAGCACAAACACTTAGTTTGGAAATTAACCAACTTAGCGAGTTTCACTGTACTTATTCTGTAGAAAAAGCCAACTCTACAAACCCATTTCTAAGAAAATTAGCAATAAAGATAGCTGAAACGTGCATTTAAAACGAACCCAAACGGTTAACGAAGACATACATTTTGGGCAGTCCAACTTAGTTATCAATACCAATGCTGAATGTTATCAAGATCACCATGTTCTACTTGTTACTTATACAATAAATACCTTTGGCTAGCTTTCGAGCTGTTTCCCGATGTTTAACGTTCAACTGTCACTATAGGCGTGATGCCAAAGCGCGGACTGGACGTTAGCGCCTGCGAAGTTTTCAGATTTTACCGACTGATCTCCATCAAAGACTTGGTGGAGCCGCTTTCCATGATCGTACCGCGGAAAGAGGTTAGCATCACACGTTAACTACGTATTTACTGACCATTTAGACACAAAAGCTGCATGTTTTTTTATTTCCGTCTATCCTTCCAGTACAGAGAGGGCAAGAGTACACACATCCTTTACTCAAGTAGAAGTACAGATGCTCGTGTTTAAAAATACTCTGGTAAAAATAGAAGTACTGACTAAACTTCTTTACTCAAGTCAAAGTAAAGAGGCTTTGAAATGTACTTCAGTAGAAAGTACCCATAACTAGCAGCTGCTTTAAAGAGTACCTGACCTCCCTTTATATTAATAGAACAATAATGTCATTGTCAGCTAATGAATGTTTCCATGCTGAACAACGGCAACATGACAACGTTTCCATTGGTCCCTCTTCTTTAGAGAAGACCAGGAAATGATGGATACACGGATCGTGTTCAAATCAATAGGCACGCAATGACTCTAAAGAATAATGATCACGCATCAAACACACATTCAGACTAAAGGAACCAGCTGTTTGGAAAATGAGAGAAGTAGAAAGTACAGGTATTTGAGTTCAACATGTAAGAAGTAGAAAGTACAGGTATTTGAGTTCAACATGTAAGAAGTAGAAAGTACAGGTATTTGAGTTCAACATGTAAGAAGTAGAAAGTACAGGTATTTGTGTTCAACATGTGAGAAGTAGAAAGTACAGGTATTTGGGTTCAACATGTGAGAAGTAGAAAGTACAGGTATTTGAGTTCAACATGTAAGAAGTAGAAAGTACAGGTATTTGTGTTCAACATGTGAGAAGTAGAAAGTACAGGTATTTGGGTTCAACATGTGAGAAGTAGAAAGTACAGGTATTTGAGTTCAACATGTAAGAAGTAGAAAGTACAGGTATTTGAGTTCAACATGTGAGAAGTAGAAAGTACAGGTATTTGGGTTCAACATGTGAGAAGTAGAAAGTACAGGTATTTGAGTTCAACATGTAAGAAGTAGAAAGTACAGGTATTTGAGTTCAACATGTAAGAAGTAGAAAGTACAGGTATTTGTGTTCAACATGTAAGAAGTAGAAAGTACAGGTATTTGAGTTCAACATGTGAGAAGTAGAAAGTACAGGTATTTGTGTTCAAAATGTAAGAAGTAGAAAGTACAGGTATTTGTGTTCAACATGTGAGAAGTAGAAAGTACAGGTATTTGAGTTCAACATGTAAGAAGTAGAAAGTACAGGTATTTGAGTTCAACATGTAAGAAGTAGAAAGTACAGGTATTTGAGTTCAACATGTGAGAAGTAGAAAGTACAGGTATTTGAGTTCAACATGTAAGAAGTAGAAAGTACAGGTATTTGAGTTCAACATGTAAGAAGTAGAAAGTACAGGTATTTGTGTTCAACATGTAAGAAGTAGAAAGTACAGGTATTTGAGTTCAACATGTAAGAAGTAGAAAGTACAGGTATTTGAGTTCAACATGTAAGAAGTAGAAAGTACAGGTATTTGTGTTCAACATGTAAGAAGTAGAAAGTACAGGTATTTGAGTTCAACATGTGAGAAGTAGAAAGTACAGGTATTTGTGTTCAACATGTAAGAAGTAGAAAGTACAGGTATTTGAGTTCAACATGTAAGAAGTAGAAAGTACAGGTATTTGTGTTCAACATGTAAGAAGTAGAAAGTACAGGTATTTGAGTTCAACATGTGAGAAGTAGAAAGTACAGGTATTTGTGTTCAAAATGTAAGAAGTAGAAAAATACAGGTATTTGTGTTCAAAATGTGAGAAGTAGAAAGTACAGGTATTTGAGTTCAACATGTAAGAAGTAGAAAGTACAGGTATTTGAGTTCAACATGTAAGAAGTAGAAAGTACAGGTATTTGAGTCAACATGTGAGAAGTAGAAAGTACAGGTATTTGAGTTCAACATGTAAGAAGTAGAAAGTACAGGTATTTGAGTTCAACATGTAAGAAGTAGAAAGTACAGGTATTTGTGTTCAACATGTAAGAAGTAGAAAGTACATGTATTTGAGTTCAACATGTAAGAAGTAGAAAGTACAGGTATTTGAGTTCAACATGTAAGAAGTAGAAAGTACAGGTATTTGTGTTCAACATGTAAGAAGTAGAAAGTACAGGTTATTGAGTTCAACATGTGAGAAGTAGAAGTACAGGTATTTGTGTTCAACATGTAAGAAGTACAGGTATTTGAGTTCAACATGTAAGAAGTAGGAAAGTACAGGTATTTGTGTTCAACATGTGAGAAGTAGAAAGTACAGGTATTTGTGTTCAACATGTTAAGAAGTAGAAAGTACAGGTATTTGAGTTCAACATGTAAGAAGTAGAAGTACAGGTATTTGAGTTCAACATGTAAGAAGTAGAAAGTACAGGTATTTGAGTTCAACATGTAAGAAGTAGAAAAGTACAGGTTATTTGAGTTCAACATGTAAGAAGTAGAAGTACAGGTATTTGGGTTCAACATGTGAGAAGTAGAAAGTACAGGTATTTGAGTTCAACATGTGAGAAGTAGAAAGTACAGGTATTTGGGTTCAACATGTGAGAAGTAGAAAGTACAGGTATTTGGGTTCAACATGTGAGAAGTAGAAAGTACAGGTATTTGTGTTTCAAATGTAAGAAGTAGAAAGTACAGGTATTTGAGTTCAACATGTAAGAAGTAGAAAGTACAGGTATTTGAGTTCAACATGTAAGAAGTAGAAAGTACAGGTATTTGAGTTCAACATGTAAGAAGTAGAAAGTACAGGTATTTGAGTTCAACATGTAAGAAGTAGAAAGTACAGGTATTTGAGTTCAACATGTAAGAAGTAGAAAGTACAGGTATTTGAGTTCAACATGTAAGAAGTAGAAAGTACAGGTATTTGGGTTCAACATGTAAGAAGTAGAAAGTACAGGTATTTGAGTTCAACATGTGAGAAGTAGAAAGTACAGGTATTTGGGTTCAACATGTGAGAAGTAGAAAGTACAGGTATTTGGGTTCAACATGTGAGAAGTAGAAAGTACAGGTATTTGTGTTCAAAATGTAATTCAAAGTAAAAAGTCCTCAGAAAAATAAGTAGTGGAGTACTGATACCAGAAAAATGTAGTTAAGTACAGTAACGAAGTATTTGTACTCCACTACTTCCCACCTCTGTTCCAGTCTGGTATTTTCCAAGCGGATCTGTACCCGATGACGGCAGGAAACCAGGCGGCCATGACGGCTCAGGAGTGGCTGTCGGGGATCAACAGAAGTCAGTAACTCATCCCTTTGGAGCCAAAATGGCCAACATACATGATCCATCACCTCTTGTTTCTCTCGCTTTAGGTCCAGTGCTGATGTCCCTGAAACCTGGGATAGGAGTTTCCAACCCTTACCCAGAAACCCCTGCAGAGAAGATGGATCCACAGAGACCTGAGAATAATGACTTTATGGAAGAGGTAGTCAAAATCAATCATGAAACAGTAGTTTAAAGAAGGGTTTAGGGTGGATGAAGTAGCTGAAAATAAGTGTTTTTCGGGCAGAATGGCATCACTTGACTGACATGGGAGTTGTAATTCCACCTGGCGCACGTTGGGCTTTCAAATGAAACTAATGAGAAGCTTTAAAAATGTACACCATTGTCCAAAGATCGCAGAAACGGCAAGTTGACAAAACCCCAGAAGTGGGAGAAGTACTCGGGTCTTGAGTAAAAGTACTCAGATGTTGTACTTGAGTAAAAGTAGAAGTACCAGAGTGGAATACTCTGTTACAGTAAAAGTCCTGCATTCAAAATGTTCCTCAAGTAAAAGTAGAAAAGTATAATCATCAACCCTAACCTAAAAGTAGTCGTTGTGCAGATTGGTCCATTTCAGAATAATATATATGATATGTTTTATAATGATTGACCATGCTGCACAGGTGGTTCACTTTTAGCATTATTGGGCTGTGGTCAACTTTAGAAGCTATGTTAACGAAACCTCTCAATTCCTGCAGACCTTTAAAATATCCTATTTACAGCCGATTTGAATATGAAGGAAAGCTGTCCGTTATATTCTTTCACCTAGTTTGCGTTTTTCCTGAATCTCTTCTTTGAGGCCTTCCTGGAGGAGCAGCTCTCATATCAGGACGCCAAATATCCCCGAAAAGTGAGCGATCTGTCGGGTTGGCAGCCGGACGAGACGCTGTTGACGAACTTCTTCACGCCGCACTGCTGCGAGCCTGCAGAGAAACCGCCGCCAAACACCGAGAACGAGGTGGGAATACATCAGAAAACAGGAGAATATCCGGCGTGCAAAATGTGTTATCTTCCTGCTAAGAAAGGTGTTTTATTCTTTCAGCTCCTGCAAGCTTTCTACAGACAGCAGGACGAGATCAGAGGCCTGAAGGACAAACTGAACGAGAAAAATGTGAGTGTTAGGACACAGGAGGCCAAAATATGTTATCTAAAATAATAAAAAATGTTGTCTTACTGAAGTGTTTGGAGCCTTGGGGACAAAATAGGATATTTTCGGTCAAATTATTGGCATCTAAAAGGCCCAAAAATGTATCGTAAAGAAACTTACGGTTGGTTTTTGAGTCTTATTCATCTTTCATGGTCCAAGTTCTTCATTTCACACATATATGTTTTAGCATCCAATATTGTCCGTTTACCTTTCTTTAAACCTTTTTGTTTTTTGCATTATTTGAAGAGCACTTTGAGCTACATCTCATAGAGTTGATTTGTATTGTGATGTTTTCTTTGTTCCTCTACAGGTGAGGATCTCTCAGCTGGAGCTGGACATCAGAAACACCAGAAACAACCTGAGGGCGACTTTCTGAACCAACAAACAAATCAACATTTACAACAAATAAACTGAAAAACAGACATTTTAACCTGGTTATTATTTTCCAGCCCTTCTAAGATAATATATTCCGGCAGTAGCAGTTAAAACAAAGTATTTCACATAATTAGAAATAAAAACAATAGAAAATAAACAATTACACAATCTAAAAATATATGATACAATTGAACTAAAGTGAAAATGTAAAAGTTGACCGTGAGGAAAAAATATGTAATTATCTGAGTAATAAAACTCTATTTAGCACATTTTAACATAAATACCATAATAATGAATAATCCTTAACTCTGAAAATACAAATGTTTAATGTATGCACAATAACCCTGGATTAGAATACAATATTAAAACATTTTATTTTAAATGATATCGCCCTCTGGTGGAGGATATTGTACTCGGATGTATTTTAGAATTCACATTTTAAGCATAGGTAGAAAGATACTGAGAATTAAGAACTTTGCTCAGACTAACAATCGCAATGTCAACGTACGTGAAACATCTCTACAAAATATAATCTTTTACAAAAAGTATTTATACCAGTTTCTGAAAGAAGTGTTATCGCTATCTGGTGGACAAACTATGTAACTGCAACTCGTTTTAATTATATATATTTATATTTTCCCCTAATTTATGTCTCAGAGGATCTTGCAAGCAGATGTATTTTAGAAATAACCATTCATTTAACATATCGCAATGTTAACTACGTGAAGATGTCTACAAAATATTGTTATAATACCAATATCTGAAAAAATGTATATTGTCGCCCTCTGGTGGACAAACTATAAGGACACGGATTTTCCAAATATTTTTTAAATATCTATACTGCAGACCTTCTTACAAAATGTCTAAAGCAAACATTTTGAAGGAGAAACCTGTGAAATGAAATGGCGTTAGAGACAAAACGCACGAGAGGAGACGCCAGGAGCAAAATGTTAAGATTTTATTTACAAAGTCCTTTTTGTGTGTTTTTTTTTTGTTTGTTTTTCCTTTAACTTACAGAAAGTAAAAAAAAAAAAGAAAACACGTCAACTAGTCAGTGTAAGTGTCAAGGATGTCTCGACGGAGGAAGAGGAGGCATAAATTGGGGGAGAGATGAAGACGAGGAAGATGGGGGGAGGGGGAGAGACAAAGAGAGTGTCCCCAGACAACCATACGAAAAATTAAACAAAAAAACAATTTCTCTGAAAAAATATTTCTTTTAAAAAGCTCTGTTGGCAAAAAAGAGAGAACACAGTTTGCCCTGAGCGACTCGGCCTCGGGGAGGAAGAGGAGGAAGAGGGAGGGTTTTTTAGGAAGGGGGAGAAAATACGGAGGAAAGAGGGATTTGGCTTTTGCGTCCCGAGCCCTCGTTTCCGTCCACAGAATTAAAGCTTTTTTTTTGCACGACATTATTGATTTTGACAAAAAAAAATACACAAATAAAAAAAAAGGAGATTTTTACAACTTTTGTGACATGATAGATATTTATGATCTAGGAAATAAGAAGGGAACTGAAGCTCACGTTTAGATCACAGAACAAGTCAAGAAAAAATGTGTTTCTATTGTGTTTTTCTGCTGTTTTCCCTAAAAAAGGACGACGCTCTCACTTGTAGACGCAGCAGGACTTTACCATTTTAAATGTCCACATTATTTGCCCTCAGTTTTCAGGAACAATAACACCAGGTCTTCTATGTCCTGAAACGCAAAAATAAATCTGGTTTTGTGTAATAAATGCCCCAAATCAGCCCTTATTGATGCAAAAAAATGGCACGTTTTGAGTTTTAAAATTTGAGGGAAATTCACAAAAAGCTTAATTTTAACACAAATGAACAACTTAGTTTAATTGGCTTTGTGAAAGGAACTCTTCCTCAGTTGGTCTTCATGTAAAAATAATCGTTGTTGTTGCTTAATTAACTCTTTCTGTTGCTGGGCGATTAGTGCCAGATTAATTTCAGTCACTTTCCAAACAGAAATGCCCAAATCCTCAGTTTCTAGCGTCATACATGTGAGAATTTCTGCTTTTTTGTCTCCTAAATGATAATACCATGTTTTGGTTGATAAAATATGACGTCCAAGTTCTCTGAGGAAGAATGCATTTCTAATATTTTATGGACAAAACACTGAAACGAGATAATCGGATATTAACTCGATGAAAAACATGATCTTCAGTTTGATTTTTGGCTTGTTTTGTGAATTTGAAACTCAGAAATGTGCATAAAAATACATTTGTTTGAGCTGTAAAGGAATATTTAGAGATCTGATGATAGCAGGAATGAGAAAAGCCTGAAGTTTGTGAATCCTGACTTTTTTTGCAAAATCATAAAAAAGGAGAACGAGGTCGTTTTGATGAATTAACGGAGTTTCGGTCTGCAGGATAACGAGGGCGTGGGAAATGGGACACACCCCGGGGGGGGGGAGGGGGAGGTCATGGAAGGGGGAGGGGTCACCGGGCCAGAGGTCAGAGGTTTTTTTGGGGTCTTTTCAGGGTCCTTAATCATCATCTTCCTCCTCTTCCTCCTCCTCGGCTTCAGGGTCCCTCTTCCTCTTCTCTCCTTTAGCCGGAGACGAGTCTTCGTCTGCAGAAAAGATTCAAACACAGAACATGCTTTATTATTTACCCCCTTCATTTTGTTCGCATTAATTTACTTTTCCCCTAATTTTATTTGTTTTTAAAAACATCTTCCCTGATTTTTGTTTATATTAATTTATTTTCATATTGTTTTTCCTTTACCTGTATTCAAATTATTTCCTTATTAAGTACATTTTTTTTAAATAGTTTTTATTTCCATTTTGTTTTCTTAATTAAATATATATATATTTTTCCTAAATGTTGTATATATTTATTTATTTCCTTTTTGTTCTCCCTTAATTTAAAATATATATATTTCCTTATTACTTTTTCCGATTGTCTTTCCCATATTTTTTTGAATTTTTTTTCTTTCTTACATTTTCAACTTCATTTTGTTTTTAAATTTGCTCCCCCCTCATTCATTAAAAGTGCTTTCTTCCTCTTTACTAACCAGAGGAGCAGCTATCGTAATCAAGGGTTGCGGTCGGATAATCCAAAAATCAGCTCCTATCGTCTATCCCTATCTCCTATTCCTTGACCTCTGAGTGAAAGGTCACGGGGTTAAGGGATAGTGGATAGGAGAATTCAAAAGGACTTAGGAGAAGAGACTGCGGTACTTTAGAGAATCGACTGCACTTTCACTATCCGACGTGTTTATGATGCGCCAGCGGACGTCATGAATGTGCGTCTGCTGCTGTGGGGAAACTATGGAAACCACAGTTCTCTATACAGCGACTACAACATGGATGTTTAAAGCGAGGCAATCCTCATGACACGCATTTTTAAATAATTATCATCCGATAAAACAGACCAGTCTCTGCCAGTCTTTTTTTTTTTTTTAATCCGATGACGTTATCAGTGATTTTAAACTGATTAATTACCGAAATAACATCAACCCTGTGGGCGGCGCCATTTTGACGAGTCACATGACTTATTTTACCGGAAGTGACGTGAACTATGCGTTTGGTGTCGAGGACAAATTGACGTATGTGCTTTGTTCATGTTGTTTACTCTAGTTACTCTCACAATTCTATAGAAATATGCCTCATTGTATCGCGAAACATTGCCACAATTCGGATAGGAACAATCCACGGAATGCTCGGTTCCATCTGTTGCCAACGGGTAAGCGTAGGAAGTACGTTCGGAGGCAGTGGCTAACGAAATGTGCTCGGCCCGAACCGAAAGATCCACAGACGCATGTATGCAGCGAACATTTCAAGTTTCTGGACGACTACTCTGAGAGTATGGTGAAACATAAAATTGGATTTATTAATCAACCATTACTTAATGGGGATGCAGTGCACTGCCAATGCCAGCCAGCGTAAGCACCTTACGCAGCAGACTTTACTTATTGTTTACTACGTAAGGAAGCAGGAATTGCAGCAGGACCCAGAGCGCACGAAGCACAGAGCGGACAGCAGATAACGGAATTGCAGTTTTATTGCTTATAGATTATCAGAACATTTCAAAGGGGACACAGCCCCATTGGATATTAACCTATGGATTAACTACATCATCGTTTTTATCGTTGTAATGCCATTGAAGACCAGTTTAGACCAGACAACGACCAAGGTAAGCCATGTTAGCCTAGTGCATGTTAGTACCTAGCGCCACTTGTTTTGATGTACATTTTTGTTGATAACGTCGCAAGTTTGTATCTTTCAGTGTTGAGGTGAGCACCGTTAGATTCTGTGTCTTTACGATCATTAACGATGTGTTGGATGTGCAGCTAGGATAAGTAATAAGGGAGCTAGGAGTGATTTTCGGTGCAGTAATAGGTTAGCATTTTTCGCTCGGGGCTAATTCAGAGGCTCACTGTTAGCATTGTGTTTTTTTTGAAGAAAAAAATGAACAAGATCAGTTAAATTAGTTTTTTTCCCGTTATATGGATATAAAATATTCATAGTTTATTCAATATTAAGGTTCCTTAGACGTTGTTTCCTGCAAATGACGCGATTTCGGCCCCGGAACCGGGTCCGTGGGGCTTAAGAGGTTAACAGAGTATGGTTTTTATTTTTTTTACAGTTGTATTTGGATGGAATGAATACCTATAGTGATAATTCAAAGTAATAAAATGATTTTTACAGTGAAAAAGGTCAAATGGAACTAATGGTTCCCAAATTACCCAGAGGTGAGTCCGCCTGGACTTTATTTTTCTAAACTTCTTCCTCGGCTGACGAGTCCGAACTCAAATACTCCGCCATGTTTTCGTCGTGTGTTTACAAAGTGAACGCATAGATGACGTCATGACCTAGTTTTTCGGATCATGTGACTACTGAAAATGGCCAAAATGGCAGCTGCCTGACTATATACAGGTTTTGATAAAAAAAGAGCTATAAAATCATTATTTACCGGGGAAAATCGCTGATTTCTTCAGGGTATGGTTTAAACATAATGTTTCACTAAATACTGAAGTTTTGATTAACTATCTAATGACTGGAGCCTTCCTTTAATAAGAACGAGGGACTACTGTAAACTCATCTAGAGACTCTGCACCGTGCTCTGATGCTGTTGCTTTATGAACGTGGACAACAGAGAAACATATTCTTCAGGACCAAAGTTGGAATTTAAATAAACAAGGAAAGTGAAACTTCTGCTCGTCCCCCTCTCCCTCCGGTCCACATTAATACAAATGATCCCAATACATATGATTGATGAAAAGATCTTAAAATCAATACAAATGTTGTGTGGCGGCAAATGCTGCGGCTGCAAGGCATTGTGGGGCAGCATTTTCTCCTCTCCTTTCGGTAAGGGAGGTCCAGTGGTTCCTAAGCTAAAGGAGGTTATAAAGGAAGTTTGAAACCTCCTTTCCTATCATCTAGAGAATTCGACCAGCACTTATCATGGCTGCCACTGAGGGACTTCCGGGTCATTTCACTCCGTTAGGAAGGTTCCTAAGCTAAATGGACTATTAGATCGCAACCCTACATAATAAATAATGGACTCTGTTAAAAGCCCCCCCCCCCCCCCCCCCTCCCTTGTTTAATGTTCGTTACTTAAAGCCCCTCAGTTACTCACCACCACTATCGTCATCATCTTCATCGTCGTCGTCGTCGCTGTCAACGTCTCCGTTCACCTCTCCGTCCTGCAGAGAGTTTGGTGTTAAAGACTTCATATCCCAGAATGCCACGGGGTAAATCCCCACATTCAGATTCAACCCCTCAAACTCTCAGATTAACTGTGTTTTATGTATTTAATGCAAGCTACGTTTAATAGCTTTAAAAATACATATTAAACAGATATTTGCTAACATGCTTTTGTTTTTTCTGAACCTATTTAGCGATAAAAGCTGATTCATAGCGTTTTTTATTATTCTTATTTTAGGAATATCGTCATAGAACAAAGACCACATCTCTATATGTAGTAAAGTAAGTATTAAGTCAGAGTAAAAATATATCAAATAACTATAAAGAATACTCCAGGCTCAGAAATCCGTTATCATTTACGTCGTTAAAGCAGATTTAAGTACAAAAAGTAGACCACCTTATTATGTCAAAAGGCACACACCAATAACAAATACAAACGGGTACACCATACTTAAATAAAAGTATTAAAGTAGCGCTGATAAATTCTAAATATATGGTAAAAAAGTACGAATATAAAGTGTATTTAGCGCGTTGAGCCTCACCTCGTCCTCGTTGCTGTCGTCGTCGCTGTCTACATCCTCAGCGGCGACGACGACATCCTCTTCGTCTTCCTCCTCCTCTTCATCAAAATCCTCCGAATCGCCCTCTGAGACACAAACAGGAAGTGTGAGTGACGACTAAATCTGTTCATAAATCTCATTTGTATTCCTTTGTGAGACCACTTTAAATAGGGCTGCTTAGTTATAATATATATAAATACAAATGAATACTGATTCAATGACATTTCAATAACTGGTGAAATCTGAAATAAATCCACATAAATAAGGTTAAGTTCACTTCCACAAACCACTCAAGATTAAGGGTGCGTTCACACCTGCCTTGTATAGTCTGGTTGAATCGGACCCTGGTGCGTTTAGCCGCTTGGTGCGGTTCGTTTGGGTCGGTGTGAACACAATCCGAGACCTCTGAAGTGAACTAAACAACCGGACTCTGGTCCACTAAAATAGGTGGTCTCGGAGCGCTTGCTTGCGAACTCTGGAGCGGTTCATTGCTGGTGTGAAGCGTATATTTACGTGTCACAAGAACGCAGATGTCTTCAAAATCTTTAGCGAAAGAGTCTTTCAAGACATCCGCGGTTGTTTAGTGAAAGAGTGAAGTGAATGAAGAGTTGAACAGTGTCGTGTAAAGTAAAAATGCTCCGTCAGCTACATAAAAGTCAGAACACCTGTCGTCGGTGAAACGCCCCTCCTGACTGCAGAACGTCTCTCATTGTGTTATAATGGTTTTTAACGGGCGTTGTCTGATTATAATCATATGCCTGGGCCGCTAGTGTCTGTTGATCTCCAGACTAACAGCTGCATGAGAATAACCTGACGAAAGTGCCGATGCTCCATGGCGGAGGCTCCGGTAGAAATTGCAGGGATTTGCGTTTTTACCCCGTTAATGTCTGACCAATGGGTGAACTGCATTTCCGAGCACATGACTTGTGTTTAAAGTTAAAAGTCCGTTTGAGTTTTGCCGTGTGAACGCAAACCGAACCTTCTGGAAAATGAAACAATGTCGTCTGGTGCGCACCTGAGAAGCGGACTATTAGGTGTGAATGCTCCCTTATATACAATATATAGAAATGTATTGATTATTCGTCACAACCGACTGAAAACCACACTTTAATACTAATTAAATTACATTATGATTAATTACATATTTTACACAGATTTAGATTCAAAGCATTCAAGACATTAAAATGTTATAAAATAGATGAAATATTTCGTAGTAAAAAAAGCCACGACTTTCTATAAAACGATTAATATAAAAAGTCAAATTAAACGTTCAATAATCTACAAATACATCTGATTAAATATTATGTAGGGAACAATGAAAACAACCAAATATAACTATAATAAAAACGTCACACATTTAACATGAGGATTTAAAAAGCTGCCCAATAATCACAGGAATTAAAATGAAGGATTTATTTTTTACCCAAACCTTCCTCATCCTCGTCGTCGACCACTTCTCCGTCAGAGTCGGACGCCTCGCAGTCGTCGATGTCGTACCCGTCCAGGTAGGTGAGTTGTGGGAGGAGCTTAAAGATGGAGTCCCTGTAGTCCGCCAGGTTCGTGACCTCGCAGTTAAACAGGTCCAGGCTCTTCAGCTGCGGGAGCTTTTTCTGCAGAAAGAAAGGAAACACAGCGTTATTATTAAACTTACTTACCTGATTCAAAAACAACCGTCTGTTTAAATGATGGTCAGATTGCTAGGATGCAGTATATGTACGTTTCTTTATGCTGCTGTATATATATATATTTCTATCTGTTGTAAAAAACAAATATCCACATTTGACTATAAATCTAAATAGTATTTACATGTCTGACTGTCCCTGAATGCATCACAAAAGGCTAAGATAGTGAAATCTGATCATAAAACGTTTTATTTCCTTATGCTACTGTATATATTTATTCTGTTGTGTACCTGCTCAAAAACACATATCCTAATTGCACATTAAATCTAAATAGGAATTACATTTCTGACGGCCCCTGAATGCATCACAAAAGACAGTGAAATGTCCTCATAAAATGTTTTATTCTACTTGTCTTGTTCAAAATGTCGCCAATAATAAACCGTTTGTTCTGATCATATTCTGTAAAGAACATTAAATTCTGCACTTCTCTGAGCAGCTGTAGAGCCATGAGTGACTCCGCTGGGACAAACAGTGAAGTGAATACAATTCGGTGAATATTAGACAATTTAATTTAATTACAAGGAAAAGTAAGGCCACGAGGAGGGAAATGAAACCCTGAAACGTTCCTGTTTTTTTATTGATTTCATTCTCTGTGTATTTTAATGTGTTCTGTTTCTATGTGTAACTCTGAAAGGTGCTAAATATAAATATAAATAAAGCTCCAAACAAACATCCCTATTCCCACATTTCTTATTAAACGCTCCGCAAAAATCTACGATAGGAACATTTGATCATAAATTGTGTTATTCTACACTTCGGGTTTAGAATTTCACAATAAATGTACAGTTTGAATTAAAAAGATTCTGGCAAAAACATTAAATTCTGCATTTCTTAACGCAACCATGGAGCCTTGAATCACTACACTGGGACCTTTAATGATTTTACAACAATTCTGTGAAACTGGGAAAGTTGAGTCATTTCTCCATTACTTAGAAAACAATTGTGGACGCTTGGACACGTTTTAATATGACAAAGAAATCCAACAGAATTAGCACTTATTTTAAATGAAATCTCTTCGATATAACCATGAATGATAGTGTGTGTCAAAGAGAGTCCACCCACCAGAGGCTCCAGTGTACCGATGTCTTTGAACTTGTTCCCGCTCAGGTTCAGGTGCGTTAGGTTCACGAGTCGCTCGGACAGCAGCTCCAAACCTCCTGATATCCTGTTGTCACTCAGCTCCAACTAAACACAAACAACAAACAAGACAACATCAGGGTGTTTGTAGAAAGATATAGTATGAATACTGTGGCGCTGATCTTGTTCATGAGATGTATCAATTCTCTCAACAACATGACGCTCGTATACAAGATGTCTCCGTGGACGTAAACAACAACAACATGCAGCGGAGCTCCGTAAGAACAACGCTGTCTCTGCGGCCTGGCATCACTTTAACCAGAGGAGCAATTACTCTCAGCTTTATTGACCAAGTGTGTGAAGACAAACACAGGATATGACTCTGGGGTTTACTGCTTACAACATTTATAACCAATTAGTCCATTCATAAAAGAAAAAGCTTTACGAAGAACTGGGAAAAGCTCTTTTTTAATGTATTATTATTACTATTTACTGATGGAGGGAAACAAACTGCTGGAGATGGCACACAGAAGTCCTTCAATGCAGCGTTGATCCATTCGTCTCAAAGGACATCGCATGAAAACATGACGTTTTGTGGCGTTTCGATGAAAAAATCCTTTTTTCACCATTAAAAACATTAAGAGACGAAAATCGCTAAATTAAAAAAGAAAGGTCTTTAATTTACTTTTGAAATCTCCAATGGAGTTTGCTGTTCTAAGATCCAATGGGAGGCTCTGAGTGTCCTTGTTTGTCGGTCCGCTCTGAAAGACTCGAGGTGTGTTTTTTACTCGAGGTGCGTTTGATTGGCTCACCTTTTTGAGTTTGTCCAGTTTGGGGATGTCTGCGACGCTCGTCAGGCCCACGTTGATGAGGCTCAGCAGCTCCAGGTTCGAGAACTCTTCCGTGATTCCCTCGATCTTTCCCTCTCCGGAGCGACAGTTATCCAGAACCAGCTCCTGGACCTGAGGGAGAGAGAAAAGACGGGTAAATCACAACGGTATCACGACGCGTTCAAAGACTCAGTGTAGTCTGATAAGCAAAGAAATATAAGAAGCTACAAGGAGCACAATACAGTTTGTGGTTCCTATGATTTAAATGGACACAACTAACCTTCTTGATTTGTGCTTTAACATATTTTATTCCCCCCCAAGACTTTAAATAATTATTTTCATTAACACATTTCCGTCTTGTTTTTTCTTTTGTACTTACGGTCTCATAACTATTTGGACATCCATGAGACATCCCTCTAGCCTACATCTGCTGATAGCTTAGCTTCTTGTGAAAACACACGCGTATATTACTTGATCGTGCAGCACAGGGTTCAGGGTTTATAAGCATTCCCCCCCCAAAAAAACAGGCGAGCCAAACAGGGCTTAGGCCTCAGAGTTACACAAACATTATGCTTTTATTTTCAGTTTTAAAATAAATAATCTTGATTTCACTTCCGATAAGTGATTTTTCATGTGATCTATAAGTAACAAACATGTACTGTTATTGACATGAAAAGCTAAGTACAGTATATGAGAAATTACTAGATGTGGGATTTACATTAAAAAACAATAGTAAATCTACAAAAACATGTCATTTCTAGCACTTTTTTGCAAAGCCTTATAAACTGTGTCTTATAAGTATAATTAAAGCATTTTATATCCACTTATAGGACTGTTGTGCAGAGGTGGAAAGTAACTCGGCACATTACGTTATTCTTCTACACGACTTCATTTTGGCTCCAATTTTTACTATTTTACTTCAGAAATTCAGATTTTTACACAAAACTTTGGATAAACTCTTAAATGAGTATTTGGTAAATATTTAACCGTGCAACATTATATTTAAGTGACACAAACCATGAGTGGGTAGCAGAAAGATAATTGCCATTACTAAGAAGTGAATAGTTTAAAACAGTCTCTTTAAATGTTAAGATGTGCAGCTTTTGCTTCAAAATATTATTTATTTTGTTTACGATCTTCCCAATCACACTTAAATACTTTACAGTGTGGTTTTAGTACTTTTACTCAATTAAATAGGCTAAATACTGTTTCCTCTACTGTCGTGTGTGTAAAGGACTCTTGCTGCACACAAAACACGAGTACATCTGAAAAAAGCTTTTATTTTAGCCCTTTTTTGCTTAATGTTTAAGTTTCTGCAGCCTTATAAATACAAACTGTGTTGTATAAACATTATTAAACAGTTTAATATCCAGTTAAAGCGACTGTTGTGTGTGTGATGGACTCATGTTCAGTTGCATGTTGGGACGCACCCCGGCCCACATTGTTGATAAACTCCACACACATGTGACTAGGCTAGCTGCTAGCTCTCTGCTAACTCATTTTCTTCATTATTAAACCATCTAATCTCATCACAACTGAGTCAGACTACATCCGTTTAAGGACATTAGCTTATTGAGAGTGTTTTAAGTGAAGAGTGGAGGTGATTATAGCGAAGTAACAGAATGAAAGTAGCCTCTTTAGCAGAGCTGCGCGCCCTTAGCATGTTAGCTCCGGCCGTTGAAGCTGATTTTTATGAATGGGCGTAGCGGCCAAACGGTGGTACTACAACTCCCGTGACGTCATGTTGGCCTAAAAAGACGTTCACCCATCCACTTACACAGGGGTAATAAACGTCTCTAAATCAGAGTATTATATATTTTAAAGCTAAATAAAATACCCAGCACGAACACCTGTATTCCCCTTGATTTAATCACTAGGTTTTACAAGTTGTGAAATGCTCTAAAAGCTGAATCCAGACACATTTACCTCTCCATTCATTTGATTGACAGAGAGCGGGAGATCGGAGGCGGGGCTTAAGGGAAAGTAAAGTGCGCATGCGCTGTAAGCATGATCCGGCTACTTTCTGAATCTACAGCGGCTACATTCTGGGCTTCATGCGACACTGAGCGACTCTCGTAGGAATGAACGGAGTTTCCATTTCTCTTTATAAATCCACGCTAGGGCTCTGACTAATCCCTGGAGAGGCGACAATATCAACAACGTATCTTTCAGCTCTTACTTATACAACTCAAACGTTTTAAAGAGTGACTTTAAAATGTGTTTTAGTTTTAATAAAATAACGTGTTGATGTGTTTACCCGCGTTTTCAGTGTGTGAAACAATGACGCATTTCCTGCTCAACACGAGTATTAAAAGAAACAGTCTAAATAAATTACATATTTAAGGTATTTGACTACTTCATTTCAACATGGGAGTTTAAGTTATTACACAGAGAACAATAAATAATGCTGTGTGTTAAAATTGTGTAACACCACGTTATGCAACGCAGATAAACACCGCGTTATAACTCTGAAATCATGCGGCTCCAGCTATTAGACGGACCCGGGACACACGGATGTGCTTCTCAGTGTTAAACTATGCGGTGCATGCACGCTTTCTTCCACAGTTTTTAAACACAGTTTAACAATATGCATGCACATTTAACGTGTAAATGTGAACATTAAGGGTGGAAATGTAGAAATAGAAACAAGGCGGTAAACATCTGCGCACCTAGTGTGTTTAAAGAGAATTAAATATGTTAAAAAAGCAGCTAATTAAATCGTTTTGAAGACTTTGGTGCAGCTTGCAGCCCAGGACCACATAGTGAATACACATTTGAGCACTTTTCCCTGCAGACTCCCTGCCATGTGCTCGCCATCCCTCCTGTTTTCGGACCGGTTAAAGTTTACACCTCTACCCGAAAAACAGCACCATTCTCCGGGTACTCACTTCTGTGGGCGAGCGGTGCCGCAGCTCTAAGGAAACCCTCTTCTTCATGTCCATGTTCCTCTGGTTTTGGCCTGAGTTTGGGTCTCTAGCGATGCGACGAAACTTGTTTCTCTTCGGATCCTCTTCAGTATCAACACGCGGAAACCAGCGTGAAGCTAGATGGAGCAAAAACACGCAGCACTTCTGGTTGGGCCTTCAAAAATAAAACGGAAGGAGTCAGATTTCCTTTATTCGCCCCGCAGTAAACAGAGACAACAATTATAGAAAACGTTTTAAAGGGAATGCATTCAATTAAATCTACTTACCGACTTGTTTTATTCATTTATAGTTCACTATGTTTACAGTAGAGTATTTTAATTCATTCTGTATGTTTAATAATGTTTAGATACTCCTCTGAATATAGCAATGTTTCACTGAGAATATATATACATGTTGTTTATTTACATATACACATGTCTTATCTGTGCTGCAGCAAAAAAATATATATATCCCAAATTGTGATCAATAAAGTATATTTTACTTTGAAGGAAGTACTTCCGGTGCTTCTCGACCCTTTCCTGTGAAACTTGACGTGAATGCGTGGCGCGTCTGAAAAGTGGGTCATTCGGTCGCTGCTTTCATTTGTCCTCGAAAATATCAGAAATCAACATTTACGACGCAACAAGTGGATAAAATAAACCGTGTTTTCACATATTGACAAAGTAGGCTTCATTTAATAGAGGGTGGGAATACATACAGTTATCACAACGTGTGTTAAAGTGTATATTTAAGCTAATTTCATACATATATTAAGATAATAATAATCCCTCCACTTTAATCGGTCTTAAAGTTAGTTTTTTATATTGAAAAAATAAGAATTAAACGGTATATGTGTCGTACAGTTACATTTGTTATTATTCCTGTCTGCAAAAAGAGTTAATTTAGCGCGAGAAGTCACATGTTGCTGCATCGATGTTATACATTCCGAGTTTCTGAGAAGCACTTGAATGCCTCCACATGTTGATTTGTAAAAGGAGGGAAACAGCAGTGAGAGGACACAGCTCCACAGCGCCACTAGCGGCCACAGTGCGTCATTACAGAAGAAAACAAAAACATTTATTCAATAAAATCTCAAATAAAATACAGCTTCTGTAATTGTGAAGAGAGTATTTATAACAAATTAACATATTAATATATCATTTATATATTTAAATTAGCAGTTATATATCTCTGTGTGTCATTTACACACAGTTTATTGGACTATTGTCTTTATATTGCATATTTTTAATCTGTAAACCTTTGTACAACCTCTAGAATATATGTTCTTCTTCTGATAAATACATTTAGACATATGAGTTTAGAAACATGCCAATTTTCTTAATTAAAATATACCAAAAATCACAAAAAACTATAGAAAATAAAATATTTCAAAAACAGATTGGACTCTTTTACAGCATTTTAACCATAGTGTTAATTCTTTATTGTCATAACATCGTAGATCATCTTAACGACAAGCAGTTATACATACAGTGGTCTTAGATTATATCAGCGTTCAATACGAGGAGAGCAACACTTAGTTAGTATCACAGCTAGCTTTTTCCATTAACCACCCCCCATTATATAACCCTAAAAACCCTCCTCCATGTCTCACACCAATGTATTAACAACCGTCAACAGACAGACATAGGAATACATAAATAAATACATAAATAAACAGCAACACGGTGTGTATCATCACACACACACACGTAGCTCACCAGAAGACACCGTAGAGGCTGAAAAGGCTCATTTAAAAGCCACAAGGCAAACAGTTAAACGCAGACCATGGACACGTTTTTATCTGCGGTGCATTAAGGTGGGGTCGGAATAATCGGAAAGCTTAATTCGAGACGATGTTATCAGCCTATTGAAAAAAGGCGTTATCAACCGGCTAAACCAACTAGAAGGTTTTATCATCGATTGTTTTACAACTCCTAGATTCCCGTGTAAAACTGTTTTGTTTGTGTTTACAATGTTCAGTTTACTACACACGTAATTGTAATTATTGTAATCCAAATCATCATTCTTTCCGAAGCAAGTTTTCTTTTCGCCCTAACCTAAAGAAGTTGTAGTTATTTAGATAGTTTAGTTTCCAAAAGAAGACGTATTTTGTCGCCCAAATCAAAGACGTTGGAGTTTTGTGCATAAAACAAAAATACTTGTAGTTTGTTTCCTTAAGAAGTTCAATATTTATCGTCTACCTAAACCTAAAGAGCATTTTCTCGGCTATACTAAAAGAAGTTGACATTTTAAACCGAAAAAAGGTTGTGGTTTTTGGGCCTAAATCTAAAGAACTATATGCCTACATTAAGAAGTTGTACGTGTGTCGCCTTTACGTAACAAAACAACTTGTTTTCGTTGCGTTTCATTCAATTTTCATTTCACTTTTACATCGTAGCAGCTGTAAATTGATTGTATAGCATAGCAGTTTGTAAAGCAGGCACCATATGACTTTTATTAGACTGATAACCAATCATAATGCTCATTTAATAGGCTGATAACATTAGACAATTGGTGAAAAAACTCCAGTTAATGCCCCTAAAGTCCGAACCACTCGGAAAATGGGCGATCATTTTGGTCCAAGTCTTTCCCTGTTGAAGAGATATCACTTTGGAGCTGTGATGCATTCGAGGACAGGCTGTACAATTGCCTCTTTAGTCTGTCAGTTTTAGAGACTGAATTTGAAGTGAGGCAGTCTCTTTAAGGTGAAAAGGGGTAGCGGAGCGTAACACTGTACAAGTCCCTCACTGAGGTTAGAATACACGTCGCCAGAGAGGGCAAATCAGCATGACGGGGAAAAACACCCAAAATAAAAAGAGCAGCAAAACAATTCTGTTTACACAAATAAATAAAAATATTCAAGAAAATTCAAGTTTTAAAGCACGTTGTCATTTGGAGAAGAGTGCTATACAACTGTAGCATACAAAATAAATAGCTGGACGATAGAAAATAAAGAGTAAACATCCGTTAACTTCCGGCATGACACACATCTCCCCGATTGTTATTATGGAAAACCGTCTGTAGCAGAAGTAGAGTCGCATGCAGCTCACAGACGATCCACAGGCGGACTCAGAAAGCAGGCTTCAGACGTAAACAAAGACAAATAAAACACAAGAAAACTCAACTTTTACAACCAGAAAAGCAGGACATGGCAGAAAGATAGATTGTAAAGTTAGTTTGTGCTTTAGAAATGTAAGAGATGTCCACGTTGTTATTATCTCTTCCTTGTTATTATTAGATCCTCATTTATTGCCTTGGTACTCGATGTTTATTGACTGATCGTATGTTTCAATAGTATTTATATTTGTGTCTGAAACACCCTTAAGAGGAAACTCTCCAGTCCTCCCATTATAAAATATCCTTTTGTAAACTATTTCATGGCTATTGGGTAATATGTCTCAACTCGTGACGTTAGGTATTCAAAATACACGTTCAGAGTAAATAGATACCCCTACTCTAATAGAAGTTATTGTACGTTTTGAAACACCAAAAAGGTACTGTATAAACTCTGAAATACCTCATAGCTACACGTTAAAAACGACAGAAAAGTCTGGTTTCTGGAGTCCATCAAAAACATCCAAAAATATAAATCAGGGAATGGGAAAAACATGTTTAAGTTTTATATCTTTCAAAAATGTTCCTAGGCAGTAGGCTACATATTAGTGAGAGTTTGGTTTAGTCCGCGCCCGTAAAGTCCGGAAATTAGCATTTATTTGATCCTTTAAACCCAAATGAACTCTGGATACATAACATTTCTTTGAGTTTAAACATATTCAGTTTTCAGGCGATAAAAACGTTTACTTTTAAGTATTCTGCTCAACACTACAAGTACTGGAATGTGAAGCGAAAGGCTAGCCGGTTAGCCACATCTGGTACATTAGCATTAGCCATGCTAGCATACATTTTTGTTATAAACTCAGGCGTAATAAATATTGTCTGGATAGAAAAAACCCTAAGCTTTTTTTATTTACTAATATGGACGAGATGTTAAATATTCAATATAATATCCGGGAAGTTTTAGAAATGTTAATCATAGTCCGATCTGTGACACAATTCAGTGTTTAATGTGCAATGGAGTCGATATTAACGCAGCACCAAACTGACACCCATTCCAACAACTGGTGTAAATATTAGTAAGTTCTTCAGTCTTCATTTGTAGTTTGAACAGACCAACAAAACATGAGGACATACCATCTTAACAATGCTTCAACATTTCCTTTACACCCCTATAACTGACACAAATGGACTCATCTGTCTAATGTAAAAGTACTGACGGTTTATATTTCCCTCCAAAAGCAAAATCTAGTTTCCAAAAACCAGGGAATTTAATTATTGAAGAGATTTTAACAATAAATAACTTCTTTTATAAGTGCTTAGTTAGAGTAGACTGTTCAACACTGCCTTGTAGGAACACATCTGATACGTATGAACACACTATGATGGAGGAACAGTTATAGCCATCGTAAAGTCCCACTTTAGAGCCATTGTAAGTGATCAAATCCATAAAGAACTGGTTTCACCAACACTGACCGCTAACTAACAGAACAGGAACTCTTCAGAACATTAAAATGTGATTTTACACACCATCAGGCAACCTTAAGGGTTCATTCTTGATGTTCTGATTAAACCTGAATACATTAAAAACCCTCCAGAAACGTTCCTGTCATATAGTTCAAAGTTCTAGTGTTCAAACCGTTCTCTTGAATCTTATTGGACGATACGAAGATTTCGGAATGAAAAACGTTTCTGTCAGCAACGATGTCGTCAAAGTATGTTCCTGTTAAAACTGATCAACAATTTTACGCTTATCATTTCCTTTGAGACGCAGACTGTTTCCGGAACGTTTGAGCGACTTTTAAAGACCTCTTCACACCTAAAACTCCAAAACAAATGTAGTGTTTCTGTGAAATTGTACATGTTCAATCTGGTTTGTTTCGCAGTAAAGAACCATACATGACCTTTACTCATACATTATCTGCGTCTTACTAGACGACCAGGTGTTATCAATTCAGCTTGTAGCCTCCTATCACATATTGAAGTAATGGAGATCAATGAATGTACCTTTCGTCGCTGCTCTAATAATCTTACGGCAATACAAGCAGCAAATGATTCTGTATTTTATTGATCCTCTGGTGTCCTTATTTCCCCATCCTCTTTCCTAATCCCTCAGGAAAATGCCAATGAAGTCGATGTAGCAAAAAAGACTTTGGTTATTTTGATAAAAGTGTGGTCTCTTGTCCCCTGTGTGTTTCCCTGGCCTTTCGTTCTGACCATTGCCTCTCCAAACGTTCTGTACGGTTACATCATTGGTCCAAAGTTTCAACCATTTAAATAAAAGGTCTTAAGGCCTAGAAATAAACTATGGTTCAGTTTCCACAACCGTCATTCTCATCGGGATGCATCTCTGAAAGTTGAGAAGTCTGCACCAAAACTGTGGAAAGACCAGAATGTTCTGATCGTAGTTCTAGATATATATACGACTTAAAACAGGGATTTCAGAACGGCTACCACTGAGTCCTGCATGCAAAAGCCACGAATAAGACGAGTTAACAAACCTCTACTCCACACAGAACACACAAAACACTGTGGATGGGTAACTCAGAGTAATGCAAAGATAGAAAAACAAGCATTTATCCTCTGAAAACCCACGATTTATCTGTTCCCCAAACCCTCTGTTCAATGCAACTGGTCTGTGCTGGTCGAGTGGGAAATCACAAGCTGTTTGTCGACACTTAAAACAGTAAATATTAAAAGATCAATCAATGACCGATCGTCTTTCTGTAAAGATCTACTTATTGCAGATACGGCTTTATTCCAAAGAAACCCCCAAATCTCATAGCTATACGTTAAAAACGACAGAAAAGTCTTGTTTCTGGTGTCCGTCATACAGCGGCAAGGTAAAAACATCCAAACATATAAATCAGGGAATGGAAATAACATGTTTAAGTTGTATATCTTTAAAAAATGTTCATAGTTAGTAAATATTAGGGATTTTGGTTTGGTCCGTAAAGTCCGGAAATTAGCCCAAATGAATTCTGGATACATAAAGTTTCTTTGTATTTGAACATATTCAGTTTTCAGGCGATAAAAACGTTTACTTTTAAGTATTCTGCTCAACACTACAAGCACTGGAATGTGAAGCGAAAGGCTAGCCGGTTAGCCACATCTGGTACATTAGCATTAGCCATGCTAGCACAGATTCTGTAGTAAATCCAGGGCGTCCGATCACTGATTCGGCTGGTTCATGCGTTCAGCCACTGTGCGGACAATCTAAGAAAGGCAGGATCAAGATATTTAGTCAAAAAGCTGTATACATTATGGAGCCATGCTGAGAGGCTAGCCAAAGGAAGGGAACGAGAGCGATAGAAGGTGGGGAAGACCCTGAAAGATGCTTAAGACAATCACAGGAAGGCAAGTCAAAGTAGAAAAGACAGCAAGAAGAAGACGGCGTTGCAGATTATCGGACTTTGTGCTTTCTCGGTCATATAGAGTAGGTAACAGCTCACATACAGACACACACATGCACATTTACCCGCTAACTCAAGTCTGCAAAGCCTCTTTAGTATCCACTGCTGCCCGGCGACATCATGAGCGTCCATTTAAATCCCTCGTTTCTACTTCTCTTCTGCATCGAATCCCGCCCAAAATCTTCCTCTCGGTCCGTTTTGTGAAAGCACAGAAGAAGAAGAAGAAGAAGAAGAAGAAGACGAAGAAGAAGACGAAGAAGAAGGAGTGGAAGGATTGTTGTTTATGTAAATACTGGATTCATACTGGGAGGATTCCGGGGTCCTAATGGGGCAACGGCACCAGGATATCCACGTAGTTGATGGGGAAGAAGCCCGATTGGCCGTTGATCATCCCCTCGTACCAGTTGTCGTCGATCTGATTGGTCAGGGTGATCACGTCGCCTTCTTTGAAACCAAGTTCGCCTTCGTTCTCCGGCTCAAAGTCGTACAGCGCTCGGCAGCAGGGCTGGTCCAACGGGGCTGAAAAACAAACATAGAGAGATTTGATCAGTAAACAGCACTCCCTAACGAGTGTCTATGAGACGACTAAAGATCATCAAAGCCAACATTAGCCGCCTTTAGCTTAGCGCTGGTGACGTGAAGTCATGTGACCGTGCTGTAGTTCCTTTATAGCCCAACATTAGCCACCTTTAGCTTAGCGGTGGTGACGTGAAGTCATGTGACCGTGCTGTAGTTCCTTTATAGCCCAACATTAGCCGCCTTTAGCTTACCGGTGGTGACAAGAAGTCATGTGACCGTGCTGTAGTTCCTTTATAGCCCAACATTAGCCGCCTTTAGCTCAGCGGTGGTGACGTGAAGTCATGTGACCGTGCTGTAGTTCCTTTATAGCCCAACATTAGCCACTTTTAGCTTAGCGGAGGTGACGTGACGTCTTGTGACCGTGATATTGTTTTGTACCTGGTGATCTCCCGGGGGATTTGGCAGAGTTTATCCCCCCGTTGAGGCTCTCTGTGGGCGGCAGCAGCTCCAGAGTCGTCCGGGGTTTGGGAATGTACTCCTTCCTCGGTTTGGTGGAAACTTGCTTTATCCTGGAGGGACACACATAGGGAATTTAAATTGATTAATTGGTCAAAACTCTGCAGCTAATAAAAAATGGATTAATAAGTTAATAAGTTCATTAATTAAAATAGTTTCCTATAAAATAAAATCAAAGCAAGAATTCCTAAAACTCTGCAATTAAGGTGCAGTCATGCAAAAGAATCCCCAGCTTTTTTGCAAATTAATGAATTAAAAAACTGCAAAACAATCCCTAGAATTCTGGAAATACAAAAAATAAATGCCTGAATGAATAAATCAGCGACGGCGTTACCTGTCCTCCATCTTGCTGGAGAGCTGCTGCAGGATCTGTGCAGAACGACTGTGGGAACTCCAGCTGAGCCGAAACCAACGCTGCCAGCTGGAGCGCACCTGCTCTATCTACAACACACCCACACACACACACACACACACACACACACACCACACACACACACACACACACACACACACACACCACACAACACACACACACACATCACACACACACACACACACACACACACACACACACACACACACACACACACAGCACACAGCACACACACACACACACACACACACACACACAAACACACACACACACAACACACACACACAACACACCACACACACACACACCACACTACACACACACAACACACACACACACACACACACACACACACACACACACCACACACACCACACACACCACACACAACAACACACACACACACACACACAACTCAAAGGTGAGCAAATGCTGTTTTCCGTCTCTCGGTCAGACAGAGCGAGACATCTGATTGGTTAACCGTGATGTTAATTGGCAGGTTAATTGGTATGCTAATTGATCTATCCTCACGTCGCTCTCCAGCAGGTTGAACATGCTCTGCTCGGCGATCTCTTTGCTCTCGTCGAACTTCTCCAGCGCCTGTTTGATCTCCTCGTCCTGAACCTTCCCCTGACGCTTCTTCTTATAGTCGAAGTCCAGGCGGCGGCCCTCCATCTTCTTCAGGTGGTGCTGCGGGACACGCAGGGGAAGAGAGGGGCACATGGAGGACTGTTAGGCTTCTTCTACGAGTTCGTCACATTTTTAGTCATTTTATCCTTCATTGTTTTCGTCCTTACTGGTTTCATTATTATTATTTTTTAATAATAACAATCTCGTAATTTGAGAGCTTGTTTTCAAATAAAAAGATATATATAATTAAGTCATTAAATACAGATAAAAAATGATTAAATGCAAAGGCTAATTATCTGCAATAAAATATAATTAAAAATAGATAAAAGTATATAAATAGTACTAATAATTTAGTAAATAAATTAAATATAATAATTAAATATAAAATGGAAAAAATACATTAAAAATATTAAATGTTAAATAAAATATATAAAATAAAGGCAAGATTATTAATAATAATAATACATGGGATTTCTATAGTGCTTTTCCTAATGCTCAAAGACGCTTAACCTTCTTGATTAAGGAGATTAAATAGATTAGATCGAGTAAAATAAATACATTCCAGTAAAATACAATTAAATTGATTAAATACAGGAAATAGGACGATATAATAAAACGTAGATAAATAAAGAGAAGAGTTTGAAATCAGATTGATATGTTCCTCACATGAGACCTGGATCCTATGCTGCAGTTTCTAGTGTATATTGAATAGTTTATCTTTGCACCTGGATCTCCTTGAGGTCCTTGTCGTAGAGGTTCTGCAGCGGGTCGATGAAGTTCTGTTTGACCTCGATATCCAGAGCGTCCTTCACCTCGCCGAGCTCCTTCATCGCCTCGCTGGCGTCCATCAGAGCCAGGCCTGAAGGGAACACAGAGCAATGTGATCAACTGTTATGAAACACCTCTGATCCCCACGGGGTATCAAGGGTTTCAGTTTTATTCAATAAAGAAAACACTTGAAAAAAGACCTGAATGTTGCGATTAGTTAAAATTAGTATAAATAAAATAAAGTTATGCAAAAAATAATCCCCAGAAAAAGTTTAATTTAGATAATGTATTAAACCAGATAAATAATAATATTTAAAATAATGCAAATATTTTTAGATTTTTAAAATTATGATAAATAAATAAAAAATAAAAAAATGAATTAAAGTTATGAACAAAAAGTTGAGTCTAGATAATTTGATAGGTAGTTTAAAATAAATAGTAATAAATAAAAACTTTAGCAAAAATCCCATGAATTTAACAATTAGGGTGAATAATTTTAAATAATACAAATACAAAAATAAAATACAGTTAATGCAAAAAAAAGCCTTGCATTAACTTAAGATAATTAGAGAATTAAATAATAATATGCTTAGATATTAGAATAGAATACAGCGATGGAAAAAAGACACTTAGGATAAATTCTAGAATTTTGTAACTAGGATGAATTTGATATATCAATGAAGATAATCAAGAGACTCACTGTTACACTTTTATTTCCTGCAGATGAAATCACAATGTGTAATAAAGAGAGAGAGAGGAGATGGATGAATAGTGTCGTACCGAAGCTGGACTCGTCCCCCAGCTCCCGCCCGAAGCGCAGCATGGCGTCCCCCAGAACGCTCTCCGCCTGCGGGTAGCCCGGACCCTTCTCCTGCCCGCGCATCTTAGACATCGTGCTGATCATACTCAACTTCGCCCGGGACGCTGAGCGGGAAACATCGTTACGAATATTATTAGAAACGGTAGAATTAAATACAATAAAACAGATGAAATTCAGAAAAATAGATAGAATTTATTTAATAGATAACAGACGATAAAATATATAGATTTTTAGTAAAACAACACAATTCATTTGATAAAGTAAAATACAAATGTAAAATAGATTCATTTTAATATAAATGAAATATAATTAAATAGATCAAATATAATAAGATAAAATAATAAAATTGATAAAAAAGAAACCCAATTATCCTACTTTAGTTATTTGTAAATAAATGTGTAATTAAATCAAAATAAATACAATAAATTATATCAAAATGTAATTAAATCAAACCTTTAATGAAAAAATGCAATTTAATTCAATAAAATAAATAAAACATAAAATACAATTAAAATAAATAAAAATAAATTAAAACAAAATAAAACAAATAAAATAATTGAAAGAAATTGAAAGAATAAAATCAAATGAAATAAAACCGAGTTAAACTAAAGACCTGGGTTTGGCTGCAGGTATTCTGTAGTTTTCGTCATGATGTCCAGCACGGCTCTGCTGGTGACGTCCACCTTCTGCAGGGAAACATCAATATACATATTAATATATATATATATATATATATATATATACATTAACCACTATCTACCCGTTAACAATGGCAGGTCAATGACATAGACAATACAAACAAAAGCAAATACAAATTACACACATTAATTAAAATATAATTTAAATGTCATAACTTATTATTTCACAAACATTTTGATACTATTTTAAATGTAAATTGTAATTCAGTCAAAAAACACGAATATTTACTTTTTCCATTTCCTTGAAGTCTTCATCGAGCTTTGTTCCCTCGGCCCCCCCGACCTTCTCACTGACTTTCTGCAGAAACACACAATGTATTTATTTTAAAATATTGTGTGTGTGTGTGTGTGTGTGTGTGTGTGTGTGTGGTGTGTGTGTGTGTGTGTGTGTGTGTGAGAAAGAGGCAGATGTTTCACGTCTACACACCGTGCAAACATAGGTAAACATGTGTGTGATCACGAGACCACGTACACACCTGAGCACCTGCATGTGTGTGTGTGTGTGTGTGTGTGTGTGTGTGTGTGTGTGTGTGTGTGTGTGTGTGTGTGTTGTTTTGATGAGATCTAAAGACAATAACGTAGGACAGATGAGGAGGAAGATCCAGTTGCCATGGAGACAGAGATCTTAGTGCCATCTCATGTTTCCCAAGGAATACACACACACACACACACACACACACACACACACACACACACACACACACACACACGTTTCTGATAAACGTGTGTTTAAAGTATTGAAAATCTGAATGAGGTTTAGAGGGAGAGGGAGAGAGGAGGGCGAGAGATGGGATTAGGAAGGTGGAGAGGAAAGTAGAGAGAGAGGGAGAGAGAGAGGA